GATGGGTATTTAATTTATTTGTCATTTATTTCCTGAATAAATGATGGTTAAGTAAATAATTATAATTTATTCTTTTTTTTTTAAAGGAAGGCTTTTATAGTAGCCTGCCTATAATAGCTATACAAAGTAATGATCAGGCACCAATTCTAACGTTTCTAGAAATAAATCTCTTATTATAATTCATCAAGTGATCAATGTATAGAGTTTTCTAAAATAAAATAATTTATCAACTAATATCAAGTAATGGAAATTAATAAAAATGTACTAATTCTGTTGATTTTTTGTTTTTCTGTGAGGACTACACTTGAAACACGTACTAATACTACTCTTCAATAACCTTATTTATTTGTACTTTCCTAAATTTTTAACATAAAAATCCTCATAGTACTACAATGTATAAATTATCCATCATAAATTCATTTAAATAAATTAAATTTATCAGCATTTACAAAGTGATTATTGTTGACATATCGTCTCAAGAATTATACTGTCTTTATAGATAATAATGTCCTTCATAAACCTCATCATGCAAAAGTCACAATCCAATTTTTTTTTTTTTGCCTCGAGCACTGCATATTTAAAAACCAATAAATATGTATTACAATCTTGAAATTATTTGTTTCATATTTGAGTGATACAACAAAATCACCCTAATAAAAAAATAAAAAATATATATGAAATATTTATTTTATACAATTACGTACAAATATGATATATCTTTAAAGTGTTATTGATAGTATTAAGAAGTATTAGAAAATCATAACTAAAATTTAAGTAAAACAATTAAGAAATCAATATTTTACCTAACTTTTTTGTTTTGTAACATTGAAGTAATGTTCTTATATTATAGTACAGAGGGAGTGACCTCAATTCATCAAATGATAAAACTATTTGTAGTTACTATATGTCAGTTGGTACATCCTCTGCTAAAATTTGACTTTCTTCCGAAAAAAGAAAACCGTTCGTGCCATTTTTTCTAATGTGTCATGTCAAAGGTAATCAAACGCACTAATTGTTGCCCTGTAAAGGGGCCGATCATCACCTACGTATAAGGTGGTGGTCACTGGATGAGAGAAAATTATAAATTATGCCTTTGAAAACTTTAATTAGCCTCCTTTAAATTTTTCAACTGCGCCCCTCTAAAAAATATCGCGTGCCTTTTTAAAATTTCTTTCTTCTCTTCCCAAAATTCATTTGACTTATAAGAAACTTATACCTATGTATGATAATCTTAAATAAAAATAGTTTTAGAATGGGAAGGAACAATTTTAAAAATAATTAGGGCTTGTTTGTTTTTTGTTTTAAAAAATAAAAAATTTAAAAATTTGTTTGAATGTTTTCAGTTTAATTGTTTTCAAAACTATTTTTAATTTTTTTAAAAAATAAAAAAGAGAAACAACTTCAAGTTGTTTTGATTTTATTTATCTTGTTTTCAAAATACACTATTTAATTATTAAAAATTACAATTACCTAATCAATTTTATCATAAATTACTATCATTAATTGCTTATAACCATCACTTCAATCTTTTTTATTTTAAAACTGTTTTGCAAATTAATATAACGAAACATATTTTCATTTTACTTTATTTTGAAATATGATTTTGAAAACTGTATTGTAAAATAATTTTTGAAAATAAAAAATGGGAGCACAAACCAAACATGCCCTTACCTTCTATAAAATATACATTTGACTTAGGGCCATGGCTTATTTTCTATTATTCATGTTGACCCTGACAGCCAAACTACTGCGTTTGTAACAACATTTTGCACCTCAAATGACGTCGTTACAAAATGTTCATCTCATATCAACCTGTACTAACTTGGTCAGTAGGGTTCGAATGAATATTCTTGGAAGGACACAGCTTCTCCGATTAGAATTAAATTGAATGAATTTGTTGGAATTTAAGCATGAGCTAAGATAAGAAAAAGTATCGCATTGGTCAAAATTATGCTGAAAAAGAGATATATAATTAGAAGAATATGTAACTCAAATCTAGTATTTATATTATGTTTGGGTACATATGAATTTGGATTTGGGACTAAATTATTTATTTGGATACTTAAAAATTTATGGACTTATGAATTTGAAATATATGGATAATTTGAAATTTGAAATGTAAAATTTTAGATTTAAAATTCACATTCACTAATCCACACAATGTCTAAGAGATTTTGAGTTAAAACATAAGATGAATTTACATAGTGTAATTACTAAAGAAAAGATTCTTTTATTTGAAATCTCAAATCATGCCTATGGATCATGTATACCTTACCACCCATAAACTGGTCATTAGTTGTATCAAGAAAGGGAACTGAAAAAACAAAAAACATAGGGGTATATAGTGCCTATTTAATTTGGATAGAAATTGAAGCTGAGGGTAATCATCAATTTTGGAAGCCCCAAACGTGGTTTTTACTCTTTTTTTAAAAAAAAAATTATCCAAACATTATCTCTCTCTCCAAAAAAAAAACATATTTGGATCCCTAAATGCTATTTTTAGAAAAGTTACCTGACACCCTCCTTGATTAAAAACCACGTTTGAACTTTTAAATCATGTTAATTACTATATGATAAGCAATTCTGACTTCCTTAAGTATTTTGATTAAATCAATTCTACCCAAAGATCATATATGCAAAACAATTTTATCCAAACTCAGTTTTACCCAACGTTAATTCAAACGCATACTTAATTAGTTAGATGAGCTTTAATTTGAAAATAATGATAATGTAGCGTGTTCGGTAGCTCCACGGACGTAAGGTGTGTGAGAAAAGACAACCCAGTCACGTGAGAGGACTTCCTAGTATATGATCATATCAAAATGGTCCATATATAATATTAATTAATAATGAAACAAATTAATTCAAAGGCCAGTTATTGTAAAAGAACAAGACGGCAAGAGTACGTTCTTCATCTTGGCAAAGTTGTGTGAATTGAGGCTGTCTCCTGAAGTTGAGAATTTGAAATAGGAAGCTAATTAACCATCGATTAGGCCTGCATGTCGTTGTAATACCAGTATGGTCATTATTTATTTGTCTTTGAAAGATATGGAAAAGAAAGCTGGATCGATCGAGAAGCTGCATGGTATACATTTAATCAGTTATACACCCATCAGTAGCTATATGTCCTGAAATATTAGCTATTTGAAGGGGCAAACAAAAAAAAAACATTTATAGGTTGAGGTCAGTGTAATATTTCCCTGTCGAGTGGAGATATATTAGGTACTGTGAAACATTTGGCAACTAGAAGTAGCAGTGGCACAGATTATAGCAGGTACTGTGATAATGGAATTCTAGTCTTGAACGAAGAAGGAACTGGATGAAAACAATAGGGCAAAGGGAGTCCAAATAACTTTATCTTCATTCTTCAAATCGAGGGGTGTCAGTTTCAAGAGTGAAAGATGTTGAGTGTCAAATATGTCAGAACTTTGTGTGCGTGCATGTCAGGATTTTTCTGAGGATGGTGGTGCAATAGAGCACAGCACAGGGCTCCACTATTTGCTGTGTGCTGCAACTTTCAGCCAACAGCTGGTGAGAATATCAATGTAGGTTAGAAGTTAAAAAAAATAAATCCGTTTTTAACTGTTCATTGCAAATCCTTACTGTGTTGTGGCGAGCCTCTATCATTTGAAGTCAACCCAACTCATTGCCCTTTGTTCCAACAAATATTTACTTTTTAAAAAATTTTAATTTAATTATAACTTAATCTCTCAATTTTAATTTATTATAATTTAATTTTTAAAATTTTAATCCTATTATAAATTAATTTTAAAATTTATTTTATAATTTCATAATTTTAACCTCTTAAATATTAATTTTTATATTTTAAAAAATAAAATTATAAAAATTAAAAATATTTTAAAATTTATTACTAATATCTTAAATTATTAAATCCTTTTAATATTTATATAAATATTAAAATTTTAAAATGTTTTAACTTTTGTTATTAATTTTAAAAAAATATCTATGCTGATAAAAATGGGACATCCTTTTAATAAAAAAAAGTATTTTAAAATTTAAATATTATTAGACTTATTGGGGAGTAACTTTATTAAAAATTTTTTTTTTTTTTTTACATTTACACAGACTTATATTCAAAACTCTAATCATATTATCCACTTATTTCTTTGACTGGCATAGGCTCTTTTTTGTTAAAAGAATGAAAGAAAGAAATGATTAGGCTTTCCCGTGCAACACAGCCCAGGGTGAAACCTAGTTATCAACCTAAGTTTGAATCTTTGCATCAACTTAATTACCCCACTCAAAATTGTCAAATTCTATATAGATTTGAATTTCGTCCTCAAATTTAGAGTCGATAATTTCAGTTTTTAAACTGGACATATAGATCGACTATTCTCATTAGTCGTTACTATCTTAGCATTAACATCTAAACTAGATTAAAGAAATTCATTTCACATTGGATGGAATCATTTTTGGAAACCCATTATCAAAATTACTTATGAATATAGCTATAAATTACTTCAAACTCACCAAAACCAAGGTGCGTGAGTTAGAATAATAAAATTATCTTAAAAGTAAATGACTTTACAACTTTGCTCTTAAATTTAAAAAAGAGTGATTTGATATGTAGAAAAAATTTTCTTGAAATTTAAAATATTACACTTTTTAGAATTTGATAGAAAGTAGTTTTGAACTTATACATTGAAGGTCATAAAAATCAAATGAAAGTAATTTATATAAAGGATCAACAAAACTTTCTAGAACGTGATGAATAAAAAAGACTGGAGGGAATATGTGAACCGAGTAAAAACTATAAATAATTAGAGTAGCAAAAGTTAACTTCAAATCATAGACAAGCGAAGAAAAATACTTCAAGCTAATTGCTTTATCAATGCCTCTGCCACCTTCAAACAGAAAATCATACTGATTAATTTCTCGATGTCTCAGTTGCTGGCTACGGGCAACGCCCGCCCCTAACCCATATAAGCTCCCATGAAGGCATGGAAATAATTGACTCAACTAATCAGAACTACAAGGCATTGTAGTTAACTTCTCTTTATTTTTTCTCTGTTTTCTCTAAAATGAATGTACATGATCACAATGCCACGCAAGCAATATAATAGGAGACAATAACCAAATATATATATATACTTATATATATAACACAAGGGAAAAGAATAAAGAAAGAAAGAAAAAAGGGTATGGGCAGACACAAACAAGTATCCGGTGAAAAATGCAAAAGCAATCAAAGTTTCTACATGCTACCAGCTCGACCAGGCGTGGGCTTTGGCTTCACCTTTGCCATGTCAACAAGGTCCCCAAATAACTTATCCTCAGGCTTGGAAGGCTTGCCAGATGGTGCATAAGATGAAGAAGAAACCTGGTAGGATGGATTTCTCAACCCACCATCATCTCTAACACATAGGCCATACATTTGCTGCTCAAGGTAAGGAACCGCTTGCTGGCCATAGCCATATCCTGCGTATTGGTTGCCATACATCTGTGGAGGATACATGGAAGCCAGGGGACTAGCTTGCAGATTTGGAACCATGCCCATAAAGGGCATTACACCTCCCTGGATTTGTTGCGGATAAAAACCAAACTGATTGCTTTGACCAACATGGGGGTTAATTGCTGGCACATGGCCATTAGCATTCGGCGGCATGTGGCTAATTGCTGGCATATGGCCATTAGCATTCGGTGGCAAATAAATTCCAACAACCTGGTCATTCCCCATTGCTTGAGGGCTCTGAGGATGTGCAGAACTCTGTACGTGTGTCATGATCACTTGAGTAACTTGCAGTGGTTGTGGATATTGGGAACCAGCTAAAGAACCACCACTATCCGTTGGTTGAGCTTCCCATGGGGGTGGCGGCAATGATCCACCGCTTTGTGAACCTGTTGACCATAAAGGAAAAATGTCAGTAATGCAAGTACTAATGTCCAAATTGGAGAGCACAGATCCTATACATTGCTACTCTCCACAGTATAAGCAATCAATACATCAGCTTGGAAAATACATCGCAGACAGGAAATGCCATAAAGCAATGATCAGGATTCATCATTGCATTGGCTAAAAACCAGAGTGTAATTGCAAAGGATTTGTGCCAAACAAGAATACATTTCAATCCACAAAAATAAAGCATCAGGTTGACCATAAACTGGCGAAGGTGGCTGTTGCTGCTGCGCAACCTGACCATTCCATGCAGGACTGGTGCTTTGGGAATATGGTGGCTGCTCGTAGTGAGGGGACCCCACATTTGACACACTTCCATTAGGGTAAAATCCACCTTGAGGAGATAAAGTTTGTTGCTGTTGAACTTGGGGAGCTAATGGACTAACTGGGCCGTTAACATTGGTTGACTGCACTGGGTGGGCATTAACAGAAGTTGGTGCATTATTGCCATTCGAAAACATATCAAAAAGCACAAGGGCGTTCTGCTGCGACAAAGGACTGGCTGGCTGCTGATCTCCAACAGGCACAAGCGCAAGTGAAGTGTCAGCCTTTGGTGAGTTATAATCATCACCACTGAGCAAGTCAATAGTGGGACCAGCCTTTGCGGGGAGAACTGACCCATTTGATGTAGGGGGTGCAGGAAGCAATAACTGATTCAATGTTTGCGACCCTGCTTCAGCACTAGAAGCAGATCTACAAATATGAAAACATACACAACTGTCAAATAACCAGAAGGCAACTGATAGGTCAGATTCTTGTCAAGTCAACTTGGAATGCATTTGAAATAAATCTTATTTCAAACCAAGAAATGAAAAAAAGAAAACGAAAAGAAACTGATCTCGTTTCTCATTCGCATGGGGAAAGTTCAAGCTATTCATATTCATAAATCAATATCAACATTAAGTCCAAAGCCAAAAACTAAAACCTACAATCTGATTCATCAAAGATGAGATCCAATCAACTGAATACAGTTGTATGAAGTAAACACAAAAAAGGTAGTTTATGATAGTCACATTAAAACTCCCTAATGTGATATCTTACACAGACAGCTGTGACTTCTCTGGCCAAAAAAATAAAAATAAAAATTGACGTTTCAAAATAAATGAGGCAAAGAAGTTCCCCTAGAGTCAGCTAAATTATTGTAACAACTAATACTCGTTTTCAATTCATTGCTGTCCCCAAGAATCTCTTCCTACCAGCAAAAGAGCTAAGATATTAATCCAGTAGATTTTTTTTTTTAAATAATAAAAATATTTCCAGGAACCTCTTGACTCACAATACTTGAAAAGCTATTTGGGATGGTCCAGTAGACTGCTTGCAATAAAATAGCAAACTGTGATGGATTACCCATATTCTTCTATGGTAAAATAAATTATACACGTGCGGAGGAATGCAGCTGATATGAAATGGAAACTAATTTAGAATAATCACGGATAATTGATTACTTCACATCAGTTTGTTTGCTAGAATTTCCCGTATCAACCAAAGGTCCGTCTAAATCAACAAGTGCTCCAGCAGGAGAAGCCTTCAATTTCTCCGGTTGATCTCGATTCAATTTCTCTGGTTGATTTTGTGCCGAAATTCCTGAAGCAATGGCTTCATGCTTGGACAGTAAACGCTGCAAATCATCATTCAGAGCTAGTCCTTGGCACAGCAGTGATTCATCGCTGAAATAATAGAATAAGTCATCACAATAGATCTGTTGACATTTGAACAGAGAGAAATACAGATGTAACCAATCAAATATGTACAGTATAATACAATAAAATGATTATAACAATCATTATATCCAAGTATCACAAAAATATATATCTGGCCGTACAAAGTTGAGTTGACCAGTTGAACCACTCTCTGTTTATATGTTTGACACTGTTCCACCAAATCAACAATAACCTCCTGCCTAAGCCCCTGAAATAGAAACAATAATCTTATTTTAAATGCGCACGGAGAAACACAATTAGAGCATGTTTGTCAGTGGGTTCAAGAGGTCAAATAAGCTAAAAGCATCTCATTCAGTTTACAAGCTAGACCAATGAAGTTTTTCTTTCCCCCTGGTAAAAATACAATTTTCATTTCTCCAACTGCTTTTACGTTTTTGTCTTAATGGGAACTTTGAGCTGTGGAAGAGGATATATACTAGAAGGAGCAAACCAAATGATGGAAAATTAGGAAACATTTGCTTGATGTTTTAGTAATTTATTTTTATGACTTTAATTTCATTAGGCTTTCTTAGATTGTGCCTTTTTAGGGTTGATGATAGTGGTGCTCAGCTCCATCATGTTCCTGTTCTACCCCATCCATCTATTACGCCAACTTGTGCAGAAATTGTTGCTGTTATGAAAGATCATATTGTTCTCTCTCCTTATGACCCCTTCTACCATTACTGATGCATAAGAATAATATAGAAAGGAGAGAGAAGGAGAGGAGAGAGAGAAGGAACAGAGAGATAAGAGGGAAAGAGAGAAGCATAGTACAGAGAAGAGAGAGAGAGAGAGAGAGAAAGAAGAGAGTCTGGGTAATATGATCAATTCATAAGAATAGCCAAAAGCATAAGGATTACAAAGATATTTGTAATATTTATAGGCTCCTAATCCTTGTAACTACCCAAGGGTTATTTCCCTTAACTAACGCTAATTAACTAACAGCAACTAACTTTTTAATATTACAATTACATAGCAATACCCACCTCCCAAAAGACCTTTTCCCTCAAGGTCATGGACAGCAATTTTAGGGAACTTTTGCTGAAATATTGAAAAGAGAGCACTACACTCTTGGAAGCTACTGTTCACTATCACTGTGCGCTGTCATTGCTCACTGTTGATGCCGGAATAAATAGCAGAAATTCATTCAGACTTGACCCAAACAGCAATGAATAAAGTCCGGCATATATTTTTCTAAATTATTTGGGCTCATGTAAATGATATTGGCCCTATTAATTGACTCGTGAGCCCATATACTAATAGTAGATGATAGCTGGCACCCACTAAGACCACAAAGGCAATGACCATTTGACATAGAAGAAATCTGTCTTTGACCTATGCACCCACCTGTGCAATACCTCTACCGAGCTAACACCTGTCCATATGCCCAGTCATGAGGGACCTTACCCATGCTGCTACACTTTTTGTCTTCTTCCTTACTTTTAGTAGTTGGTACCATCTTCGCGGGTCCCACCAAAACAAAGAGATGGTTGCTTTTGACTTTTCAGCACTTCAGGCACATCCCCACATGATCTTCTGAGCAGTAAAATCAAAAAAGTCACCCAGAAAAACAGTAACACATAGTATTTCAAGAACAAAAACAGTCTGCAATGGAGAAACTAGAGAAGACAGCAACAGTGACACCCCAGAAACAATAGACAACAATGGAGAAGCTTGCAGTGGAGGCAGAAAAACAGAAATAGGTCACAACGGGTTGATCAAAAATAGAGGCGAAGAGAAAGTTGAAATAGAGGGTGATGGTAGCTTTGCAAGTGGGCAACACTGATGTTTCAAACAATGGTGGGTACCCAAACTCAAGTCAAGATTGACAGTTTTACCCACACCATCAGTGAAGGAGCTTGAGAAGTCATGTTTAGAGATGCTCGAGCCTACTTCACCTTCCAACTCACACAAAGAAACCTTCTTAAAACCATCGACTTGCAGTTCTTACACTAATAAGGAAGACCCAACTTCAACTTTAATTGTTCTAGTTGTGGGATCCCCATGATTCCTAATGCCATTCTTGGCTTGCTAATTCCCACAATCTTGTAGAAGTGTACTTCCTTCAGCCTTCTCCAAAAGCTCTCGTGACCCATAATTATCTTTAAGTGCTCATGCCTTCTTTTCTGCCTGATGCGTTAGCATGATTTCTTGCATTCTTGCAAGACTTCTAGCTTCTTGCATCGTTCTTGGTTTGAAGAGATGCACTGGCTCTACAAGTTCTGGCTTGAGCCCGGCCACACACGCAGAAACCAAATATTTTTCTTGCAATTTTAATCTGCTGGTGTGGCTATGAAAGAATTCATTGAATTCTTTCACACTCCCCCGTTGACGAAGCTGCATCTAGTGGTCATCCTCATATTGGAATGAATGGTGTGCCATGGCCGAGGATGACTGGCTCTGATACCACTGATGAATAAGAATAATATGGAAAGGAGAGAGAGAAGGAACAGAGAGATAAGAGGGAAAGAGAGGAGAATAGAACAGAGAGAAGAGAGAGATACGAGAGTCTGGGTAATATGATCAATCCATAGGAATAGCCAAAAGGATAAGGATTACAAAGATATCTCTAGTATTTATAGGCTCCTAATCCTTGTAACTACCCAAGGATTACTTCCCTTAACTAACTCTAACTAACTATCAGTAACTAACTTTTAACATTACAATTACATAACAATTACGTTGTTCGTTGGAACTTGGAAAGATGTTAAAGATTCAGATGCTGCTTGGACCACTGAAGAGGAGTCTCTCCACTTAAATCTTCCTTTTCTCTCTACTTCTCCCACCTTCTTCTCTTTCTCCATATATTTCTGTTTCTCCCTTGTCCTACATCACCAAGCCACATAGGAGCTGCTACTTAAAAGACCTACACCAGAACAAAGAAGGGCCAGGCCCAAGCCAAGAAGCATACTAATTTAGCTAGGGAAGGACAGGAGAGGCGAAGCCGAGAATAACTACAATTCCTACATAGTCAGGCAATGCAAAGACGTTTGGAGAGAGAGGGGTATTAGGGAAAGGAGGTGCTTGAGGGGACTCTTAGAAGTGCAGGTCTGGCTAGGGAGACAGCCTGGTCTCTCAAACACTAGGCTTGGGGAGGGAGGCAGCCGCCGCCGCCGCCATCATCTTTGGATGCTGTTTTCTTTATATTTGGGTACTTTAGGCATTGTAAGCAGGTTCTAGCTAATTCAGTAGTCCTCTCCTAAGTTGGAGTTCCATCAACTTCTAACTCAATCAGCATGACTCAAATTTCCACGTTTCTCAGATATTCCGTGCCTTATAAATGATTGTATATTAATATATAAATAATTACAATAACAATATGTATCCATGCCATTGCATTAAAAAATTTCAACTTCCTGTAACCAGCAGTCACACAAAAATATAATTTTCAGTATTTACACCTAAATGACTATAAGGGGAAAGACAAATAGAAAGTCAGGTACAGTCTTTTGTAGATAAAAAGATAACTTTGAACTATTCAAATTATTTAGGGAAGAAAAAGAAAAGCGCACAAATTCAAAACAAAAGGTGTAATTAAGCAATCTCTTCACTAGTATACCTCAACCAGTAGCACAGTGACCAAAACCTTAAGCTTTTTTATCCCTGCTAAAAAAAATTTTATCATATATTTATTTCATCAAATTTCAGGTTCATATCAAGCAACTTACTTCCTTGTTACTAGGGTCTAAAGCATTCAGCATTTCTGCAAGTACATCCATAATGCCACGTGCATTCTGAATTTCCGTCAAGCTGACAATACAGACTTCAATTAAAAATGATAATAATAATAATAAGTGGTAACCAGTCCAAAGCATTTTGATCTTCTCCAACATAATAGTCATTGCTGATAAAAATACCTGTAGAAATACAGAAAGTACCAAGGGCATTGTACAATAAAGTATAACAAGTTTCTTGCAATGGGAGTAGTTAAGAGGGCAAGTAAAATTTCCTAATCAAGCCATTTGCTTCTGTTTAGTTCAAACATATATATACATATAGCTTCCTGGGAAATTGGAACACAACTTTGTGAATAAAACGTTAGGAAATTGTACTTCCCAAGTGTTTTATGTCAATATTTCAAGAAAAAAAAAAACCTCCATAATTAAAATATCTAAACTTAAAATAAGGGTATTTATACTTTTAACATGCGATAATGAAACTTTTGGACTCTCAAGTTTGCCTCAATCGTCGATTTGATCCTTAAAATTTACTCTTTATCAATCAAGTTCCCAAAGTTTCATAGCCTTGCACAATTAGTCTTTATGGTTTGAAGGAGGAAAAACACCATTAGAATTGTGCTAACATGGGTAATGGAATAATGAGTTGGAAGATGTGTAGAGTAGTTGGAAGACGTTAGAATCAGTATTATTTCCCTTTCAAACTATAAGAACAAATTATGTATAGTTATGAAACTATATAAATTTTATTGATAAAGATTAAATTTAAGGCACCAAATCAATAACTGAGGCAAACTTGAAGGACAAAATATTTCATTAACCCTTTTAATATTAAAATTTACAATATTTATTTAAAAGATTAATTTCAACTTCTCAAGAAATAAAATATTAAACAAACAAGTTGTACATGAACTTATTGAGAAGCCTAGAAAGTATACTTCTCAAGAAGGATAATCATTTGAACCAAGCAACCCGTGAAACTACATGTATCCCAATGTATAGATCTTAATGCTCGATTTCTTAGACAATAGAAGCTCTTGAAATAAAAAGGGACAAGTAGATGCATCAAAGCTTAAATTCTCATTCATACCATATAAGGGAGCCTCAAAATAAAATAATCAATCATTTTTTTTTTTGCACAGAAGGTAAGAATGATGAAAATACTGTTTGAAACCGAAGTAGTGTGTAAAATGGCAAGGTTAATTTTATACATACATATATATAAGTAGCTTCAAATGGAATATATGTGCTCCACAAGAAAAGCTTCTATGGAGGACAAACATGAGAATGCTACTTAACCACATTAAATGTATGTACAGTAAAAACTTTTCCAACCCTCTTAGGTCATAAGTCATCAGGGCAAAATCTAAACATCACTTGAAGTTAGAGGAGATATAAATATAAGTCAATGGATCACAAACAAGAGCCAGACATGGTACCTTAAGGTTGGAAAATCATGTCCTGCAGAAGACTCAGCCGTGTCCTGCCGAAAATCAGAATTGCGAAGATTTTGAGGATATGATGCCAATGTTTGTGTTTGTGGAGGTGTGAATACAGGCACAGATTGCTCAGACCTCTGAGGGAATACTGCCCCTGCGCGCTGAAATGACAAATTTAATCAATTTTCCATGGTCAATGTGAATATCAAGTGTAATCAGTGAAATTTTATTAGCATTCAGATGAGAATATTCTGTTGTTCTTTTTTTTGGAGGGGACTAAATACTATAATGAACTTTTTCTTCCCTTGAGTAACTTCATAGTCAACATACCAGCAGTTCTTGGTATGCAGCATAGTACTGAGGATATCTTGCCCTTGGTCCACCAAATGCCTCTTGCCAAGTATCTATCAGAATGAGTATCTTGTCTCTGACATGAATATCAGGCTTCAATTGACATCATAAACAGCATTAACATATTGTACTAATGAGAAACCTGCTATAAGACAGAGCAGAACAGTAATGTCTTAAAACACATACCCTCTTTTGGCTATTCTCACCATCTCATGAAGAACATCTCTCTCTGCAACATGCATGTGAACTATGTCCCCACAATTTTTTATAATCGTCTCCAGTAGCTAGAATATAGAAGACCAATACAAAACGAAATGAGCTTGTCTGATTGTTATAATTGCATATCCAGACAAGAGAGAATGTTTCCGATATGAACAAACACCATTTAGACTGCTAAGCTACCCTCAAAGCAACCTTGATACAGAAGGCCTAGGTAAGATTTCATTTCATCAAGTCCTTAGCACCATATCACGAAAATTTGCACAGTTATTTAACAATCAATATGAAGATAACAAGATCTACTGGCATTTACATCCTTCATCAAAGCAATGCTCAGGAATTGATCTACTTTCAGTCATATGAAAAAAGTTTATTGAGTCAAAATGAAATCTAAAAAAGAAATTGATGAAAAGATACATAATCTAAAAACACCTTGAGCAATATTAAAATCTGAATGATCCAGGAAGTGAGCTAACGCTTACTGTTAGTGCAAGAAGTTGAACTTTTGAATTCTTACTTCCAATCTTCTTCTTTATACCTTTAACAACATCCTTTGCTTGCCTGATAAATCATATCAAAACTGAGTTCTCAGATTCTGGAAATATAAACAAAGAGAAAACTCAAAATCAAATATAATATTCCACTTAGACATCCACATCCCTAAAACAAAGCAACTGGCTAGGCTACCGGGCTGTTTAACAATCAGTGTGAGGGGCTAATAACTAAGTGTTGTTTCATTACAAAACAATATTATTTATAGAAATTGCCCGCAGTCAACTTCAAGGCATCAGACATCATGATCACATATACATTTACATATATCACCTACCTAGGGACAAAGTCACAGAGTTAGGAGTCAGGGTGTGCATTTTTTTTTTTTTTTGGGGGGGGGTTTGGGCCCCCCGGGACTACACTCTTACTCTTCAACTAATTTAACCAGTTCCGAATTTAAACTGCACATCCGAAACATGGCCAAAAATGCATTAAAAAAACGAAGGTAGTAAATTTTTTTGTACAAGAATGCATAGCCCTTCATTCCATACAAGGAAACCAGCAACTTATAGAAAGTAGTGGGTAGAATCATGATAGAAAGCACGCAAATGCATGATCATATCATCATGGACAAACTTGCAGAACCCAGCAAAAGCATAAAGGCATCAAATATCAGCCCATAGCCTAACCGTTCAAGTTCACGAAGTTTAAGAGGCAATCAAAAACTTATTACCGAATCCCATTATATAAGAAGCACATAACAATAGATGCATTCAATACCAAAGAAAAGGAAAGGAAGCCTGCTGGCAACGCAGGACACTTCTGGTTAAATTTGCAGATATTGTTAATTTTGTTGACCGATCAGCATTGTCGCAGTGCAGAAGTGAATTAGCAACAACAAAACATAAGAAAATAAAGAAGAATTAGCAGAGAAGACAGCGCCACTTATTGACACTAAATCCCGCTCTGAAGTTTAACTCACGCATCAATCCGAAATCCCAGTACAAAAAAGAGATTTCAATCACAATTTTCTATCCGGTAATTTCCCAAAAACCACAGAGACAGCAAGTGTTCAGTAGAAACGCCAAAATTCGTATGCCAGAGAATGAGAAGAAGACAACGGCTCCGCATAAGCTCATGTATTTGGATTGATAAGAAAACGAAGGGAGTGAGGATTCGGAGTTGCGCTTACGTAGGGTCACGATTCAGCATGTCACAGATCTCGAGGTTCATAGCCCAATCAGGGCCGATAAGCATGTCGCTCGTGGCTCGTTCCACCATGGAATTCACCATCTCTCTCACCAAAGATGCTACCAAAAAGAGATGGATAATCTACCGATGAACATAAACACGATCGAAGATTATTCGGTATTCCGGACGTATCACGGAATAAGCCGGCCTCACACTTTCTCTCTCTAAAACAATATGCGTCTCTATCCCCTGATATTTGCTCGTTAGTTTCTCGATTTCAGTTGAGGTAATTTTTCAGGGAAACAAACTCAGATATCAGAATTGGAAGTGAAGAAATTACGCTCCCTGTCGAAACTGCCACGTGTCAAGCTTATCGGCGTGCTTCCCCCTGATGCCGTTTCTTTTGCCGACCACTTTGATCTGACGGTGCTGACCAAATTGAATCCTAGGTTTACTGAAGCCACGTTTGCAAGCCTTTCATATAAGTTGCAACCTGAGCCTAATGATTTCCTTTATCTAGTCAACTGATTCTGGTCAAATGTTTCATTTCTTGTGGGCGAAAATCGATTCATGAGGTATTTGAGATTTGACTATAGAAATATAAAAATTTTAAAACTTACTGTGTTTGTATATTCAGATTTCCAAAGGTCGTGAAAAAATTAAGAACGTGTTCATATAATATCTTAACAGGTTGTTTTCATGACTTTTCTTTCAAAATTTTCACAAATTATATTTGATATTTTTATTTTTAAAAATAATCTTTCCGCATTCCATAACATGAGCTTTCTTGAGAAGCTACCGCAGTTATTTGGTTTCTTTTGGAATTAATTTATCGCCTTGAATTATATAAGATAAAAAAATTATATATTTAATATTATACATTTAAGGTGCTTGTATTTAATTAAATCAGGATATGTGAATCTTTATTATAAAAAATTTACATGTCCTAATTTAATTGAATATAAATATATTAAGTATATAAAATTAATTAAATTTTGTCCAGGTAAAAATAAAAAAGGATGCTTTAAATATGAAATGTCATGTGTGTGCCGAGATCAAAATTAATGATAGAAGATAAAAAAATTAATGATGAAAGATGATTGATGTTAAGTAATTTAAATTTCTTGATTTTACGAAGCATTCTGGTCCGAGCTTAGAAGGAATACAATATTGCGCAAACAGTATAGGTGGTTTAAAATTTATCTAAAAAATGCAACTTGTTAAACTTTTTTATACAATATACTCCCTCCTTTAAGATATTTTTCGATGAGTTATATTTAAAAAATATAATGTATTTTTAATTTTTTAAAGTATAATTATTGCTTTTAAAAAAAATATTTCTATTAATAATGACCTTATATTTATTATAAAGTGCTTAGTAAAAATAAATATAAAAATATAAAATTAGTTTAAAATAGATAATTTACTTTATTATAAAGTAATATTTAATTAAAAATATTTTATTTTTAAAGGAACGTAGTATTTGTTGGCCAGCATAACTTTTTTTGTAATAGGGTAAAATCCTTGCGTTGACAATCAACTGGGGAGTCACTAAAGCATCACGGCGGAGTTTTTTCTTTTTTTTTTTTGAGACCAAAATGAATCAATTTTATTAATTGTCAAAAAGAATATTACTCATACTAATAGTCAAAATCAAAAAAAAAATCTTGAAAAAAACTTATTAATACAACCTAACACAAAACTCACAAAAGCCAAAAAAAAAAACAAATAAACTAAAGAAACGACAAGATTAACCAATAGAGACACACTTAACATTGGCAAAATCATTGCCATTCAAGGAGCCTGCACCTAAAATATAACACACCAATTTTTTTTTTAAATAATTTAACTCAACCATAGTTGTATTACAGCCACCCAACACATTTTTATATCAATAATTTCAATATAAATACTTTATAATTGGCTTCAACTCACACACTATAACATTTCAGATAAATTTTTACCTCCCACATGCCATTAGGCTAAATCACATTTGTCCATCCTTATACTCCCAACAAGTAAACTAAATCACATTTGTCCATCCTTATACTCCCAAAAAGTAAAATAAGCAATTTAGTCAATTTTCAACACAAGCCAGTTATTTGACTTTATAATCATGCTATTTTAATCAATTCAAAGTAAACCTAATATTAAAATTACATTCATTCAAATTGTGTCAAAAATAGAAATAGTTTGAAAGGCATGATTACATTTATATATTCATATAATTGACAATAAACAAAAAGCCCTAATATTGGCAATATAACACATTATAAATCATGAATTAAATACCCAAAAGAGACAGTGGATCTATACCACTAAGCCTCTGGGACTCTCCACGTGTCACTCGTGGCTCTTCTCCTGAAAATTGTTAGCCACATAATGAGACTCAAAAGTCCCAGTAACCAAAGCCAATTTATGATAGTGTATACAAACAGTTAAGTGTGTGCTTACTAAGTGAGAATTAAAAATAATATAATTCCAACAAATATAAGAAATATTACAATATACACAAACAATCATCCTTATATCCCTCCATTAACCTCGAGCCGTAGCCCTCACTTGGTGCTAAATTACCCGGCCAAAAGTAAATTAGCCTGAGCCCTTACAAGTCACCTATTGAGCTCCAATAGGGGCGTACCACGTGGCACATAAATACAACAATAATAGCAAGTCTCCCAACACCTCCCACAATAATTAAACAAATTCATAATAATATTGCACAATTATACAATATTACAAAATTCATAATTTTCTCAATAATCACTCAATTAATAAGAAGTAACACTAATCACAAATTAAAAGCATGATTACCTTGTGGCTTTTTCAATAAATTATTCCTTAAAATTTCTCTCTCACCACAATCTTCACCAGTAATACAATCTACAAATAACATATTATTTATAAATATTAGTTTCAATTTTTGAAACTAATAAAATAATTCTAATAATAGAATTAAAAATATAACATAATTCCTAATCTCAATCTTAATACAAATCTATAGTTAATACTATTAAGTAAAATTTTTAACTCCTCTTTTAATTATCAATAAACATTAATAATCTAAAAATCAACTTCTAAACTAATTTCTATTATCAAAATTTTTTTTTATTTCATAAATTCGTACCTAAAATACCCAAAAATTAAAAATTGAGTCTCTAGCTTAGAATCATAATCCTATAACCATAATAATTCATTTCTCTTACTTAGTGGATCATCAATAAATTTATACTCTAGAACATTTATTATACTACTGACAACCTCAAAAATCATATTTATTCAACATAAATTCATCTTTCCTCTTAAATTTTCTACCACTACAAACTCAGAAACCAAAGAAGAAGGATGACTAAGAAAAAATTTTAGAACACTTACTTGGTCTTGAAAAGCTTAAAATCACACCCTAAATATCCTATTAAAAACTCTTACCTTAAAAATTTAGATATTTTGCACCGGCGACTCGCTTCTCTCCGCCTCAGCTCGCGCGCAGGAAAAGAATTGAAGAAATGAAAGGAAACGGGTGAGTTTTATAAAAATTTAGTGGGTCCCACATCTTTTTTTTATTATTTCTTCTCTCCTCTCTCCCTTTTTTTTTATTATTATAATATATATATAATGATGGCACGCGGAAACGCCGAAAATCATTTGTTCTTCTTCTTCTTCCTCTTTTTTTTTAATACGTTTTCTCCTTTTTTTATTATAATAATAATTTAATAATATTTTTTTATTTTTTTTTATTTTTTTAATTTTTTTAATTTTTTTTTAGAATTATATCCTAAGTTAGATTTAATAATCATCTCTTACTAATTTTCTTACCTCTAAATATTATTTTTTTTAAATTTCTATTAACCCAAATTAACTATTAAAATTTAAATTGGAATGTTACATAAAACATACGAGAGAGGAGATGGAGCTCTAAAGAACCAACCTTGCGGATCCATCATCCTAGCACCGCGAGCTGCAAGTAAATCCGCAGCAGAATTACCTTATCTCGCAACCAAAGCAAAATCCACACAACCAACAAAATCTTTAAGCAGCAATAGCTCCTCTAAAATAGTCAAACATCACCAATCATAGCCCTTCGCAGAATTGAACAACAAAGCTGTAAAGAAAAATTCACAACAAAGCTCAATACAAACCTTATAGTTTTGGAAACTTCTGCATGCCAAAAAGGCCTATTTTACTGCCAAACACTTAGCCATCAAACTCGAATTAGCTCGAACTGCGACATTAAAATCCCCAAGAAAATTCCTTCTATAATCTCTACAAACAACTCCCACTTCTACATAATTATTATGAGGAAGAAAAGCAGCATCACAGTTAATCTTCACAATACCCAACTCAGGTGCAACCCAACAATTCCTCTGTTTACATTCTGGATTTTTTCTCACTTTATTCAAATCAGGCACAACTTGAACACAATAAAATTCTTTCGCCAACCTAACAACATTATCAACAACTTTTTTAGGATCTACCTAGATGCCCTTAAAGATAAAATCACATCTACACTTCCAAATCTCCCAACACATTACTGTAATGAGAGCTTTCTCCTCATCTTTCCGCCCCCTCACCTGCAAAAACATGTATTCCAACCAAGCAGGAACATTACAATTTATACTACAGTCAAATACAATATTCAAAGGTCATCTAAACCAACATGCGGCAGTCCAAGGACTAAAAAAGAGTAAATGTTCAATAGTCTCCACTTCCTCATTACACACCAAACACAACGAAGATTGAGAACATTTTCTCTTGAATAAAACCTCAGCAGTGGCTAGTGCACCATTCAAAACCCTCTGCATAAAATGTTTCACCTTTGGAATTATATCAAGGTCCCGAATACATCTCCACAACAGTCTAGGAATTTGATATGAGGAACCAAGCCTCTCAATCACCTTTTCAACCTTCATTTCTTTGGCGAACTTATAGCCAGATTTAATAGAATAAAATCCCTCTTTGCTTGCACTCCAAATGAGTACATCATCACAAGCCCTAGTAGGAATTTGAATTTGAGAAATCATATCAACCTCAAGTTGAGTAATTTTGTTTCTAATTAATTCCAGATTCCAACTACCATTGGCAATCATACTGGCCACAGTTAAAGTTTTATCAAGACCAAATAATTGAACAGATAGTAACTTTCCACACTCTAACTCTGGAATCCACCTATCAGTCCAAACCTTCACCTTATAGCCTGGCAGAGATAGATCCTTTTTTTTTGGGGGGAGCAGGGGCGCGTGAAATCTTGATGTGTTAAGCATTATAAACAAATACGTGCGTGGCATGAATGATTGAAAATTTCAAATAAAGTTTTTATATTCTCCTGTAATTTTTGCTTAGGAGCTGAGTATTCATTGATTTCATTCATCATGTCGTTATACTATCATCATTTTCCTGTACACGCATGCAGCATGTCCATTGGTTGGCCTATAATTTGGCTGCCTGCCTCATGTCGTCGTCAATGATATGGAGCTCAAAAGTTTGGAATTTGTAAATTTATTCCTTATATCATCTAAGTGTTGTTTGTATTTCAATTGGATATAATTAATTATAAAAATAATTAATTAATGTGATTAATTTTAATCATAATTGATTATGTTATAACGCAATATATTTTAATATTGAAATTGATTTTAACTGTATAAATTATCATTAAAAATATTATTTTTAAAAATTAAATTATTGATAAAGTTGTATTTAATATTAATAAATTTGTTAAACTTTATTTAACACAATTATGAATTATTGACAAATTATTTATTATTAACATAGTAAAATGGGAACTAGAAGCAGATATGAATAGATTAACAAAAAATTGATTTTAGCATGTTTGATCGATTATGTCATTATTATAAGATTTATAAAAGCTTGCAATATTTTTGTGCCGTGAAGAATATTATTTGTCTCACAGCTCTGTGCAAACATGGTGTGTAGTCTTTGTTGCTTGTTAACATAATGCAAAGAGGATGAATGATGTAATGAATAGAATCATGATATTTTTTTGGGAATTTGCTAATTCTGACTAGTTTGAAATATTTTGAAGAAGAAATTTTGTTATTCTCTTTTCCATTTGGCTGCGTTAATTCAGGGTGAGTGCTTTCCTTTCCTCGTCTAGATGGGAAAACAAGAGAGAGATGATGAGTACACAGTCTATAAAATTTGTCTCCGTTTCCCTCCCATTACTCCCTTTTTAAAACAGAAGATTAAGGAATTCGGGGAATAACTAAGATTATGTGTAGTATATATATGTTAGAATTAGGAAGATGCAAATAAAAAAGGATACAGGACTTGCCAAAGTGTGTTTGGTGTGATATAATCACAATTTTTTAGAATCTCGATTCCTATAAACTCATTAGAACTAGTTTCCACATTATAGCTCATGAAATCATATTTTCTAGTGTATATCCATTATACTCTTATCTCATTTCCATATGAATCACATTGAAAGACGATGATATTTATCATCAACCCACCTACATTCACCCGCCCAATGATAACATCAATGACTACGATATACAAGTAATAGAATTTATAGGTTTGCGGATATTTCATGGTAAAGACCTCTTAGCTATGTTGAGTGGTGGCTTCCCCCTCGGTAGGGCGGCAACGATGTCCTTGTAGATATTCCATGAAAGCTGCACAATTTTATCTTTAAACAGAGTATTTTTGTAATCAAGCTTATCTCATCCACGATAATTATTAGATATTACTATAACTTGTCGATTTATTTAGACAAATGTATTGTACCATGAGCACTTCCTTTTGATCATAAATAAATAACTAATTGATAATTATGTATTACAATTATTCTACACAGTACACACACATAGATGGGCCTGATAAAACAAGTAAAAGTCAATTGATCTCATTGCTATCAAACTTTCGAGTTGACTTTACGAGTTTATTGATTTTATGTTTCTAACTTATAAAATCATGTTAATTTACTTATAAACTCGAACTAAATAAAACTCAATTAAATTCATGAGTTGACTTTAAAAGTTTACTGTGTTTACATTTATAAGTTATAAAATCATATCAATCAACTCATAAACTCGTTAAATAAGATAAATATGTATTATGTAAAACTTGATTCATAAGAATAATAGAATCTGGTTTCATGAAAAATAAAACTGAAAAAAACAAAAACTAATATTAATGCAAAAAAAATAAAAAATACCAAAAATAAATTGCTCTATTTTAAAATTTTTATGTTGAGTATAATAATCTATGGATGTGGATAAATTTAATTTTAATAATTTATATTTAAAATATATTTAAATTAAATTATGATCACAATTTATATTTTAATTATTTAAACATATACTTTTAAAGGCTATTTATTAATAGAAATAAAGTCTTACAAGTTTACGATTTGAATCTATATTTTAAATTTTTATTTTTATAATAAATTTATATAAAATCATGAGTTTAACAACCTTTTGATCTATAACATGTTATTTAAATAAATTCCAAGGCCTTGTTATCCCAATTATGTCCAAGAATGAGATATGATTGGCAACTAAAATTTCTAATTAAAATACCGAGTAACCACTGTCTTAAAAAAGGGACTAGAAATTTGTAGTTGGCCCAGTAATCACCTTGGGCCTTGGTCAACTATAACATTTGAGAGTGATATAACTTTTAGCAAGTCTTATATTTATAAATTAGTCATTATTGATCAAGAACTCATTTTCATGAAGTTGAGAAGGATAAAGGAGCTTATTGAGCTTTTCAAGACAATAATGATTTTATTGTTTTTACTAATCCTCCTATAAGATACATGATCATTTTAAATTATAATATGACTTGATTTTTATATCTTTTATATGGTTCTCGTTATAGCCTTGTATTTAAGGGGGGGGAGGACAAAGGAACATGTTTAAATGTGACAGAGCGGCAATGACACAATTTATGGTGTGCATGGCGACGTGTGTGTGTATATATATATATATATATAAACAAACATGAATGGAAACTAGCAATATGTAACTATAAGATTAATCGCTCAAAAAATTTAACATCATTTAAAGGATTATCTTTCTTTAAATAATATTTTTTTCATATATACTTTTAAGAATTGAATCTTAAAATAATGTTTAAGGAGTACAAATCATTAAATGTCACATCCACTCTCCGGAACTAGTTTAATATTGTTGAACGAGACCAGGACGGGAAGAATCATAGAACGCAATAGTTACAAAGGAAAACCGAACCACAGGAGCAGCCCACGGTGGTTGTTTACAGCTCTGATTCATAGCAAAGCTTGTATTCAGTGTATAACACCATCCTCTCCTTTCCCAATTTTTTCATGGTTACTCATCTCTTGCTGATTCCATTTTCTCTGCATTCTTCCTTGCTTCTTCCTCGGTCTCAGGAGCTTCAATCGCCCCCATTCTTTTGCACAACATGAAAGAAGCTTGAATACAAAGATTATTCATTAACTTGCATTTCAATTTTGCTCACGCCTTTCATGCCATGGAGAGATATCTGCACATACCTGGAAACCAAAAAATTGTTCCGAACAAAATGAACTAGAGCGAAACTAAAATTAATATACACGCTCATCATTCTATTTTTTGTATCAAAAATTAATTAGAACAACATAAATATAACTTCTATAATAGTAGAATAATTATGTTATTTGATGGATACGCACACTATCTAATTTTATTTTCTTTTTCTCAAGCAAAGAACCTGTGATATTTGCCTGTTTTTTTATTTTTCTCTTTCTCTGCGTTTTTATTTCTCTATTGCTTTTTCTGGCAAAAAAAAAAAAAAAATTCTCTACTGCTTTTTCCTGGCACACCAAATTTTGAAAGCAACAAGCCAACGTCAGATTACACCCATTCCCTTCAGGTTCCTGATTGCCGTTGGTTATTTTTACTTCGAAGTTTCAAAGTTTTAACCTTTCACTGATAAAACTGCTCTCTGGATTTTGCTTTTCCTCGACATGATTCTCTCCTGGATTTAAACCCTAGGTCTGCTTTTGCAATTCTCAGTTAGAGTTCCTGACTCCCTGTGAACGTTAGAGAATCGAAGTTTCAGACTCTGCTCCAAATCCCTTTTTTGAATTGATCATCGAACCCGTAGAATACTGGAGTTAAATTTGTCACTGTAACATTTTAGGTTTTCAGAAAGGCGTCATGGATGAATTTTAAGAACCTAGAACTCAACTCTATACTTTGCGGTGATAACTCTGTAACATGTCACCCCAGCGCGATTCGCTGACTTTCAATTATCATCGAGTCGAATTTTGAGGACGAATTTCACTGAGCAGGGACTCACCGTATCTCAATCCCGATGGCGATCATCGGCGATGCGCTTCGCCAGGCGTTTATGCCTAAGCGTGAGTACGAGAGTCTCAGGGAAGAAGAAAAGGCATGGGGCAAGCTTCAGAGACCGTTAATAACGGCTGTTGTTATTGTCATTTGGCTTGCAATCATGGTAGGTACGATTATCAGTTTGAATATTATGTTTCCGAGCAATGAAGGGAGGAGGCCGTTCTGCTATGATCGGAGGCTTCAGCCGATACCGATGGGTACGAAGGGTGGATCGGATACCGATCTGTTTCCGGGTGCTGCCTTTTATTTGACGGATCAAGAGATTGCGGATTATTACTGGATGGTTGTGTTCATTCCTTCCATGATCATCTTCTTGGTATCGGCTGTGTATCTCATTGCTGGTAAGAAATTATTTTAAAATTTGCTTAGGTTTATTTCTGTCTGATTGATGTGAAGAGGGAGCAAAATTAGAATTGATACGCCGCGTTCTTCATTGAGGCCACCTTTCGCCACTGCCGAATTGTTTCCGAGTTTAATACGAAGGCATCTGTAACTGTAGTGGAGAGGATATCATGTTTAGCCGCATATACGGGAGTATTTAGGAACTTATAATGGAGAACTTCTTGGAAATAAATAATTTATGGAGTGGCTGCTGGAAATCTCTTATGAACAAGAAGGAAACAGTTGACAACATTGTCGGAAGAATTGCACTGTAGGGCAGGGATTGTTTTTTAGTGAAAGGACCTATAATTTGCCATCAAATCTGAAATCTCTTTAGGGTAATGAAGGAATGGTTTCTTTTCTTCTGTGATAAACTTTTTAGGAACAAAACGCCAAAAAATTTTATGGATATGGAATGCTAGTTTCTTATTATGATGCGATACCTTATAATCTATTCGCGGTGTGAGAAAAAGATGCGTCAAATCCCTGCCAAGAACAAGTAGTAACTAGTAACCATGAATTCATTTTAGGCTAAACCTGTAGCTGTATCCATGACATGAATAAATGATTAAAGAAAATAATAAACAGCGAAGTTTCTCTTGGTGATTAGAAGTTGTGCTTGTTGAATTGATATGTAAAAGTATTATTGCCCTGGGTCTTGGATGCTATCTCTGATAATATGTTGTGCTTAACTCCACCGTAACATCTAGTTTATAATTGTCCAAGTTTAGAGATAAATTAGCCATTCCCATTACAAAGGATAGTGGAAATATGTTTGATATCAGCGGTAGAAAATAATTTTGAAATTTAGCAAGGCTTTTTAAGCTACTCTGGAGGATCATCAGAGTTTGATCAACCTGTGAATTTACAAAAAGCTTTCTTCATCTTACTATTTTCATTTTGCACTGAGTGATGCATTTCTAAAATGAGAATTAGGATGGAACAATTTCTATTCTGCGAGAGTAGGTTAATCTCCCAGGCATAACTGTTGGATTCTTAGCCTGCTACAACTGTACAAGTGGTTCATCTAAGTTGAGTGAGATGTCCTACCAGAGTTATCTCCTTTTAAACTCTAAACAGAGCCAAGCCACCTATGCAGCTGTTCATATTTGTGATTCCTAGAATTATGCTAATGGCATTAACTTAAGAATTAGTCTAAGTAATGCTTACTTATAGGTTAAGAGAAGACTCTGAACTTCTTATTGGAAATTAAGAATATGCTGGAATGCATCAGGAGCTATTTTTAAAATTTTTTTGCTAAATAATGCAAATTCAGAGTTGTCACACTCACAATTTTACTGAGGTTTATTTTATTTCTAGAACTTAGGTTTTTGCTCTTGTTCTAGTCATTTTTTGAAATTATATATAAATGTTCAATTTGCAGAGAAATTCCTCTCCTTTCCATGCAATTATGCCTGAATTTGTGATGTTGAAAATTTGTTGAATGTGCTGTTTTTTGTTGCAACTTTTAGGAGGAAGCTCTTTACTCTCTATAGCTTCTGTTACTCAAAATTTGTTTTTAGATGTACATTTGAACCTTTTCAAGGTGTAGCTTCAGGGTTTCATTCTATCTTATTGAATTGGAGCTTTTTTAGGTTTTTTTTTTTTTTTTTTGGGTTGAAATAACTTGATCTACTACTTTTTGTATTGGGGCCTTTTCATAATAATGGTGATCATCTTTTTTCTTTTTTTTTTTTGGTATCATATGGTAATACCTAGATGGTTTAATTTTTCAAATGATAATGATCTTGCAGGCATTTCTGTCGCTTATTCTGCTCCAGCTAGGCATGGATGTTTGAAGGTGGTTGAAAATAACTACTGTGCTTCAAGAAGAGGTATGCTCTTTTCTCTGCCAATTTTTGACAAGAGGGACTACAGTTAAAGTCTTAGAGGTTATGCTCTTTGCAATACTCTGGCATCGCTAATTATCTTCTGCTTAACAAATGCATTGACCTATGTTTCATTTGGACAACTTACAGGAGGTGTTCGCTGCCTATCTATCTTGAATCTCATATTTGCTATTGTTTTTGGTCTTCTTGCATTGTTTCTCGGATCAAGCCTCCTGACATTTGTGAGCAACTGCTCTGTACCCCTGTTTTGGTGTTATGAAGTTTCGTCATGGGGACTGGTTGTTCTATACGGTGGTACTGCCTTCTTCCTGAGGAGAAAGGCATCAGTGATTCTTGATGAGGGAGACTTCAGTGGTAGAAATCTTGGGCTAGAAATGCTGGAAGCAAATCCCATGGAGGTCACTCCAGAGGTTGAAAGACGTGTTCATGAAGGTTTTAAGGCGTGGATGGGGTCATCCCTTCTATCCTCTGATGAAGAAGACGAACCGGACTGTTACAACGGGGTACCTCATGCGGAGCGACTCTGAACTCACCCAAATTCAGTGATAGCTGGGAAGGGTGCGGCTCTGAAGTCGTGATGGTGCCTAATGTAACTCGATCTGACACAAACAGACGCTAATTAAGGGTAAGGATGGATTTTTTTTTTTTATAATTTATTGAGCTGTAGATTAATATGTTGTTAGGAAATCAGAGTAATTTCCGAGTGGTTAACTTGTGAATGATCTGACTTTTGCTTTAGGTTATGTAGTCAATGGAAAGCATTTAACCAACCTTTTTCCTGATCTCTTCTATCTACTTTTGCGTATGCTAGACAATCTAGTTTAGCCTTTTTATAACTTAAAAAATTTTGAATGTGATGAGGTTGATTCTTGGAGTTTAGGGGGAGTGAAATTGCCGAAGCTAGAATAGCGTTAACACTCTCAAAACGAGTAGGGTCTGGAGTCTTGGACAATGGACAGCTATCGCGTTTTCTAACTTTCACGCGTGAGGGATCTCTGGCGGGATCATCATATTCTTCATTCCATTTTTTTATTGGTTATAGGTATTTCTTTTATTAGAAATAATTTTATTCAAAACATGATTGGGTATTAAATATGAGTTTTTTTTTTTAAACTCTCATAATCATAAAATTTTTCAACCTTATTCAAGTTAGCTTAAATTATAACCTCTAGTTTGATTTGAGGCAGGCTCAAATTGTCAAGTGCTCTAAGCAAAAAATCAAGAATATGACCAAAATCTTGAACATTTTTTCATTTTATTTATATGATTGTATTGAAATCGGTCTAATACAAACCAATTTCAATATAAGGTGTCAGGAAAGAAGAATTTTGAAACTTGATTTGGTAGAAGTCAAGTTTTCATTTGTAATATAATGAAAAATATTTTTGAACATGTAGCATTTTGGTATTTTTTTTTTTTGGGTATAGAATTATGGTCAATTTGCCTCCTAAAGACATTCAAATGAAATTTTCATTGCTTTTCAACAATCAAAGTGTTTAAGAATTATGCAGAAGCATGGTAAACAAGACTTGCATTGGGAAGGAAACAAAAAAAAGGCAAAAACAATTATTTTGAAAGATTGCAATTATTTGTTGTAGCCAACTGCAATACGACATATTTGCTGCGGCTAACGACATGCTCTCTACAGCTAACCATAACTCACTCACCGCAGCCACATCTATTGTTCGATGCGACAAACCCGATGCTTATAGCATAAAAGACAACAAGATCATTTGACTTCAAACTCACATAATTAATCATCTGAATGTTTGCCTAAGGTGATCCAAAATTCCACACTCATATAATTAAATTATCTCATGGCTGGTACCCTCTACAATCTAACCCGATACTAACCGAGAATCCTAAAACACTACATGTCATTAAGAGCAATTGAGCCCCTTGCCCTTATGTAAGTGTCTTCCCTCTAAATTCAACTCGTTAATACATTTGACTTATAACATTACAGTATATTTTTAACATATATGGATCAATTTTATTACACTCAGGGTTAACATAATCCAAATAATGCCTGATAGCCCAATGAACCCCAAAGCATTACTTCATGCATGCAATACAATAATGCTAGCTCTAATGAATTTCATGATGTTGTAAAATATGCATATTACCTTACTCGAAACGAATTGAAGGCTCCTAATATAGACGACTTAGTCCCCTACCTAAATGACACTTTCCCCTTTCTATCCACAGACACCTGAAAGGTACATAATGTGAGATATAAGAATCTCGATAACTAAACAACTCAGTCATAAACGAGTAAAGTGACATATTAAAGTTCATATCAACTTATATGACAAGTTTTGAATTACATTAACAGCATCCATTATCCATAATAGCAGTTTACATAGATACATCCGTTATCCATAAGTTGCAGCAATCACACTGACATTAAAAAATTTGTCATCTAACCAAATTTATCATGTAATTAAGAAATACTTTATGTTCAATGCAATCATCTTATATCATCTGATTAAACTAATAGGCTAGCAATTCATATAAAACTAACCTATATGACTAGAATAGTCTTGTTATCTAGTTGTAAAGGGTCACCCGGCTAAGGCTTCCTTACTCACTCTCGAACCACGGGCTTTCCTCTTACTCAAATTTTAAGGTGTCATAAGTTATTCGACCCACATCGTCCAATCTAAGATTAGTAATATTGAGCATCGTGCTTGACCCATGCCACACCTATAGATTGTCTAGCAATACTAAGCACATTAATAATTAAAGTTACCTAAAAATCTTTGCTTAGTCCAAATTCAATTGTTAGTAATTAACCTAAAAATCTTTGCTTAGTCCAAATTCAATTGTTAGTAATTAATAAGGTGGCCAACGAGAAGGATTCATATGCTTGCTAACTAAATGAACACTGAATCTTATAACCTCAGGTAACTAGGGCAACATTATATTTTCTAAATCAATTATAAATAGTCCCCATAGCCAATTCCATCCACTTAACATGACAGTTATGTATGGCAATTTTGAACGTACTAAGCTATACTTAAACATTATCACGTGCCTCTTTGGCTTCCTAAGCCAAAAAAATATGGTTAAGTTGAGTATGACATACTTATCATTCGTCTTTAACATTGCGATCCACCTAAAGGCTTTTCGCTTAATTAACCAGAACTCAATAAAATAGTTATTTTACAATTATTCCTATAGTGATATTTCTCACTTATGTATTATAGGCAATATTATGTTTGGCTACCTTTACATTGAAGCCTCCATCATTTCAAAGAGTGAAAAGTGTAGCCTCAGATAAGCTTTTTAGCCATTGCTATTCTTTAGTATATATCTACACGCAAAGGTTAACAAGCCATTATTAATGATTGACCATCATTAATTAATCATTAATCATGATTAAGGCCTAAACCCTTCGTTATACATTATTAATTATGTTTAACCTCAAGACTAATTTTTATCAGCTTATATAACTCACTCAACCATCATTGCTAGTTGCTAGCCTATTTTTTTTACCTTACTTATTTAGTATTAGGGTTAGCAATTTGACCCTTAATAATGATGTTTAATGTTGATGACCACCCAAACCCTCTTCATCAATGGCCTTTATAAGCATCCTTAGGTCCTATCAAAGTCATTAAGTGCTTCCTTTATGTGATCATTTTCGGATCACCCTAACATGCCTTCAAAAACTAACTATAAATCTTGGAAGAAATAAGAATATTAAGGTAGAAGACTTATCTAAGGCATAAAAACCTTAAAATACTTCCAAAACTTCACTGTAGTAGAACCCTAGCAGAGTTGAGATGCCTCACTCTTGAATCTTTCTTAAGCACACCACAAATTTGTCACTTAGAATGATAAATTTGAGATTTTAAATTTCTATCATGCTTACCGTAATGAACAGCCCAAAATGAGCAATTTTACTTAAGCCCAAAACTGCTTTTAACCCTATTTTGGCTTCCCTAAAGGGTTCTATATGCCTAAATAGCCATCCAGATCTAAAAGTCAATTCCTAATTGCCATAATTAATTAATTGCATCACCTAATTAGTTAATTTATTCTTAAGTTAATTTTAGGATCTTACAAGGCATGATATTTGTATGGACATCTAAGTATGAGTATTATGAATATTATATATTTATACGAGTGGATGCCCATAATTTTTAATACTTGAAATTATTCATCTCTCATAATCTCTTAATGAATGATTGATAAAGAGTTTTTCATGGCTAATGCATTTTAGCTTTCAAAGGTTAAATACTATATTATCATGTCATTCTTTATTCCTTTATAACATTAAAGTAAAATTTAATGATTGAAGGATTATAAATAGAGGATAGGTAAAAAGCATTATGCATCCACGTAAATAAAATTTACTTCCTTATTTTCTCTCTCAATTCTTCTTGTGTTACTATTTACTTTTCCTATTCTCTTTCTTTTTATTTTCATAACGTACATGCATAGGTACACACACATAATAACAATAATAATAAGCTCTATATTATTGAAGTAGAATCGGCTCCAATAAAAAAAAAGTTCGAGTAGAGTTGGCCATGTGAATTGCCGGACTGCCCCAATTTTAACTTATTGTATCTCTTTTCCATGCCAAACATTACTGTCACTATCATATAATATCCTTAGCACGGTGCCCAACTGAGAAGCCATATCTCAGTTTCTTTATTAAAAAAATATTAGAACTCATTAGAAGGGAAGGTAATCGCACGATTACCCGGCACTGCCATAGCTCATTAGGAATCATAATCATTCCCTATGGAGGGGTCACGGGTCTAAACAGGCCTCGCCAATCGTTGAGCCCAAAAATCGACCCGACCCGATCATAGCTTAATCGGATCACGGTGAACCCTAAACAAATTATCGTACCAGAGCACTCTCCTCCTTCGTCGCCATTGCTCACCGGCACTCTGGAGTCCTGGCCTAGCATCTCTGAAGGCTAGTCCTTACGTTTTAGTAAACATGACTGCCAAGGAGTACGAAGATTCACGTGCCGGCTACGACGACCACCGCCAGCTACCATCTCCACAATCTCAGGACATGGGATATGATCCAAACTTCGTACCCGACTCTGTGAAGTCCTTCGTTGTTCACCTCTACCGTCACATCAGAGAGAAGAATGTGTACGAGATTCACCAGATGTACGAGAACTCGTTCCAGACCCTCTCGGAGCGTCTCTTCAAGGAGACTCCCTGGCCCTCTGTCGACGCTGTGTCTCTCTACGTTGACAATGATCACGTCTTCTGCCTCCTATACCGTGAGATGTGGTTTCGCCACCTCTACGCTAGGCTCACTCCAACTCTCAGGCAGAGGATAGATTCCTGGGACAATTATTGTAGCCTTTTTCAGGTTGTGTTGCATGGTGTTGTCAATATGCAGCTACCCAACCAGTGGTTGTGGGACATGGTGGATGAGTTTGTTTACCAGTTTCAAAGCTTTTGTCAGTATAGAGCGAAGATGAAGAATAAAACTGAACACGAAATTGCGATCTTGAAGCAGTATGATCAGGTAGCTTTTCAAGTGGCTTAGTGTAGTTTTTCACTTGTCGTGATTTCTTGGTTTGTTATTGCGGGGAAGAGGAAAAATCAGATAGGCAGATGATGCAAACTCTTTTTCTGGTTTTGATGAAAGTAAATATCAATTTGGTTTGAACAAAAAGAATAATCAATTTAGGTTATCTAAGATGCATGCTTTTTGTGTCTAGCTGTAGATTTTTTTTTCTATTTATATTATAAGCTAAGAGTATGATAATTCCATTTCAAAGGCTTGGAACGTGTATGGCGTCCTCAACTTCTTGCAAGCTCTTGTTGAGAAGTCTTCGATCATTCAAATTCTTGAGCGTGAGAAGGAAGGCCTAGAACAGTTTACGGCTACTGATGGGTATAGCTACGATGGAGGAAGTAACGTCTTGAAGGTTTTGGGGTATTTCAGCATGATTGCGTTACTGCGAGTTCATTGTCTTTTGGGAGATTATGAGACTGGCCTAAAGTGCCTCCTTCCTATTGATATTAGTCAACAAGGAGTTTACACCAGTGTTATTGGAAGCCACATCGCCACCATCTATCATTATGGTTTTGCCAATCTTATGTTGCGGAGGTGAGATGCTCAAGGGCCTCTTCAACTTTGGTGTGTCTTGAATATTTAGTGGTTTTGATAATGTAGCTTGATGCCAGTTAAAAAAGAATAAGTATTTTTAGAACTGAAAAATCAATTTAAAGCTGACAATCTGTATGTGGAACCCGCGCTGCTGAGTTTTGAATGTCAACAAGCCCCTCTTCCCCAAATCAAGATTGTCTTGACAAAGCACTCTCTATTAACTGTATCTTATTTTTGGGTCTTCCTTGTATGTTTAATAACATAAGTAAGGTTGTGATATGATTTTGCTCTCGTATATTACTTCGTTTCAACTTCTTTTCATATATCCTAATTCATAATCTTACCTGCAGATATGTGGAAGCAATTCATGAATTTAACAAAATTCTTTTGTACATCTATAAGACAAAGCAATATCATCAGAAATCTCCACAGTATGAACAAATACTAAAGAAGAATGAACAAATGTATGCCTTGCTGGCGATCTGCCTTTCACTCTGCCCCAAAAACGAGATGGTTGATGAAACAGTGTACTCTCAGTTGCGGGAAAAGTATGGTGAAAAAATGATTAGGATGCAAAGATATGATGATGAGGCATTTGCTATCTATGATGAGCTCTTCTCGTATGCTTGCCCCAAGTTCATTACCCCTTCAGCACCTAGTTTTGAGGAGCCTTTGGTAAATTACAACCAGGTACCACTTCTTCCGTCTTGCTAGCAGAATAGAATAGCATTTGAATGCTTAGCACCGATAGATATCAAGTATGGAATTTGAAGCCATTGTTTTCCTTTGCCCTCTGCTGTAGAATGGGTGAACCATGCACTTCCTTGTCTCAATCTTGAAGGGAAAATAAAACTAGGGTAGTCATAGAGGTCGATCTCCACCTTCACCCACACCCAAAAAAAAAAAAAAAGGAGAGAGAGGGGGAGAGAGAGAGAGAGAATGATAAGGAGAAGGGAATCATTGAAAAACTATTGATGGCACAGCTGTTGGACCATGTTTGGAAGGACGTTTGACTAAGTTCTGTAATCTGTATCAATTTCTTTTGCATTTATGTTGCTGGAGAATATTTGGTTTTCTTTTTCAAGATGTTCATTCTTTTATTGAAACATCTGTCCATATTGATCTCCATTGTCTTATTTGATAGAATTTTTTTCCCCTGACTGATTTGATGGACGTTTATTGACCCTTCTATTTTGGCCTAATAAAGGCTTGCTAGTTGACGCTATTCTGCCATAGTTGCATAACTTGAAATATGATTGTTTGGATATTTTCTCTGCTTCCTCTTTTCATCTATGCTTTTTTATGGTAAATTGTTGAATGATATTCATTTTGGCAGGATGCCTATAGACTCCAGTTGAAATTGTTCCTTTATGAAGTGAAGCAGCAACAACTGTTATCAGGTGTCCGGACTTTCTTGAAAATGTATTCGACAATCTCTCTAGCAAAACTAGCAAGTTTCATGGAAGTGGATGAAGCCACCTTAAGGTTACTACGCCTCCCATTTTATGAGCGTTTCCTCACCATGTTTTGTTGTTTGTGGATAATTTTGTGAAATGATACTTGGTCTGAGTCTATGGTGATACTTGACAGGGCTATTTTGTTGACGTACAAGCATAAGACGCATGCTGTTGATAGGGACGGAAAAACTGTATCCAATGCTGATGTAGATTTCTACATTGATGATGTAAACTTATTGAATTCTTCTTCTTGATATTGCTTTTCTCTTTTAAGGGGTTCTTATTTTAAATAATGCATTAAATTCTTGTTAAATTAATGCTCAAGTCCCCTTAAACGTAGACTGCTGGTAATTGTGTCAACTTTGAATCCTGGTTAATTTTCTTGTTTATTCATTTATACTGTAATTAAATAAGTATGTTGGCAGAAGTTTATATTGGCCTTGCTGCTATGTGAAAATTCGGTTTTCAAATTGAGCTATTTGGCATCTTCTGTCTCATATGGTTTTATAAACTTGGAGTGATGGTTATTTGCTGCAGGACTTGATTCATGTTGTAGATCCCAAGATCCCCAACGATATGGTGATTATTTCTTGCGACAGATTGTCAAGGTATGCTTATTCCTGCACAGCCATCCGAATATTCGGTTTATTCGAATCTCTGTTGATCATTTTGTTCGTTGCTGTTCGCAGCTTGAAGGGGTGATCAATGAGATGGACGGTATAAAACTCGACTAAGTTGCCTATTGTCCATCCAATTCGAATGGACTTGTCCTTCTGGTTGATTCATTCTCTTTTCTATTTGCTTTCTAGAGATTTTCTAGATTTGTCAAATCTTGGGGTAGAGGATGTTGTTAGCTTTCCCCGTGTATTACTCTATATATATATATATATATTGTTTTTTCAAACTGATCTTATTTAGGAAGTAGCGTAAAATTCTTATTGTTCCTAGAAGGGATGAAGTACATAACTCCTTCAAGCGCATAGCCAGTGTTTTTATTCATGATTCATTATCATAGATGTACCTTCTTTTACGGCATCATCATCTCAACTGAGACCATCTTATTAAGTTCATGATTATTTACTGAGAGAAGTAAAGAACTTGTTTTTCAATTTGGTCAAGATAGAGAATATCAGTTTAGCCCCTTAAACACTTCAATCAAAATGGTTCCTTCATGTCAAATCACAGCCATTTTATAGACTTACTTTTTTTTTTGGAACAAACATTTTATAGGCTTATTGATCTTGATTCAATGTGAACTGACATAGCTGGTTGACTTGTAACTTGGAGATTTAAGTGAGTCATTTAACCCAAAACTGACTCGCTCAATGTGTGAGATTTGCTTAAATTACTTTGCACTGTTAAGGGTCAATGCTAATGTATCAATATAAAACTTATAGTAATTATATTATTCATCAATCAGGAATAATGTGATTTATTTGAGATCTGGCAGAACCATGGAAGTACACCTTATTGGCCAAATGCAACGGGAGGGTCGATTAGTTCGGTGTTTTGGAGAATAATTCTTGAGAATTGTATTCAGTGAATTAATTATTATTTTGAGGCATGAATATATGGGGGAGTTAGGACTAATAATTCATTTATCATAATTATAATTTTTTAGTCATTTTTAATGGCTAATGCATTGAAGGCCAAAAACAAGTGACCGCCTGAAAGTCGTGTCCGTAATTTTTTTTGTAACATAAGTGTTGCTATAAAGTATGAGTGTTCGATTTTCACCGAAAAATAAAGGTGGGAGTAATGAGTGTTCAGGGCTTCAAGGAATTGTGGATAACATGTTGAATGCCAAGACCGCAAAACGAAAAGCGAGGAAACTATGCGGAATCGTGTGTAAGACGCTTCTACTGGAAAGTACATGCAATGAATTAATGCAAAGCAAACTGTTCATGAAAATGTTTTGGTTAAACTTTATATATATATATATATATATATAATATTATTACCTCTGAACAATTTTTTTTTTAAAAACAAGAAAGCTCTTAAAATTTTAATAAAGAATCCTTGACTAAACTTATTTATATCTAAAATTCTTAATTTTTAAAATTTTATTATAATTTAAGTTAAGGATTGATTTGATTAATTTTTAAAAAAAGGACAAAATTACTCCTTTTTTAAATTAATATCAAAATTTATCTACTTCACTTATTAATTTACTTACAAATATTGTTAATTACCTTATTTAACTCGTTTTTTCATTTTAAGTGTTAAAATTATCGTATGATAACTTATTAATTCTTATACTATATATTATTTATTTACTTACTAACTATTCTTAATTGTTCTAGTGAAGTAGAGCATTTAATAAATAAAGTAAGATAATCCTGATATTAATTTAACTAAAAAATAATTTATTATTTTTTTAAAAAATTTTAAAAATTTAAAAATTTTAAATATAATTAAGTATGATCATAGTGTTTTTAATTCATCGCATCAATTACCCATTATTTCCTCCGTTCATGGGCCCATGCACATTTATAGCTAATACTCTGGCCCCCATTTTGATCCTCTGACATGGCTTCGATCTCGTCATGACATTGATGGTGTGAGGAAATTGTGAAGGAATGACTTCTTCCCATTTTCTCCGCTGGTGCTCGGCAACCCCAGGGGGAGGATGAGAAAGGGACGTCTGAAAAATTTTCACTTTATCTCTGCGGGTAGCCCAGAATTAAAGTAACAAATTTTACTCACTAAGGTTATACACGAAACTTTAAGAATAAAGAAGTATGGAAGTAAGAATTTATGGGAAGATGTCGGAAATTTGCGCGAGAGAGTAACGTGTGAATTTATTTTTGTCATAATCTATGAGGGAATCTTAGGGTGTAGGAGAGGGGGCGACGCTTCGCCTGTCTGCTTCAGTTTCTCTTCGCTTCTGCCTTATGTTGAAAGACTAGAGCTATTTAGGTTTCTAAGGTCTGTCTCGTTTTCCTCCGTTCATGGGCCCATGCACATTTATAGCTACTACTCTGGCCCCCATTTTGACCCTCTGGACCATGGCTTTGATCTCGTCATAACATTGATGGTTGTGAAAATTGTGAAGGAATGACTTCTTCCCATTTTCTCCGCTGGTGCTCGGCAACCCCAGGGGGAGGATGAAAGAAAGAGACGTCTGAAAAATTTTCACTTTATCTCTGCGGGTAGCCCAGAATTAAAGTAACAAATTTTACTCACTAAGGTTTATCCACGAAACTCTAAGAATAAAGAAGCATGGAAGTAAGAATTTATGGGAAGATGTCGGAAATTTGCGCGAGAGAGTAACGTGTTGAATTTATTTTTGTCATAATCTATAAAGGGCGTCTTAGGGTGTAGGGAGGGGGCGACGCTTCGCCTTATCGCTTCAGTTTCTCTCTCGCTTTCTGCCTTATGTTGAAAGATTAGAGCTATTTAGGTTTCTAAGGTCTGTCTCGTTTTGAGTCGCGACTGGGAGCACCAGGACCTTGATCCCAAGCCCTTCTAGCCGAATCCAAACTCACCCTCCTCATCTCTGAAGCACTGTTCCTTCAATGGCCAGCCTTTCTTCGACTTCACCTTCTCATCAACACCCACTATTTTTCTTCAACTGCAATGCTTTCTTTCTTGGGTTTTCTGAAATCGAGATTTGAACCAATAGTTAGGAATCGCTTGAGTTCAAATCTACAGGATTTCCAAGACAGGCCTTCCGCACGGAACAGGTTTCAAGCTAGAACGAACAAGGTTTGTGGATTGTGAGAATTGAGAAACTGGGTTGTGGATTCTTCATGCTGGAAATCAATTCAGCATTAAAGAACTTAAGAGAGTTTAGTGATAAACTGGGTTTATAATCGATGTTTGTGCATGCTTTAGAAATTGATGGATTCATATTGATTTGATTATTCTTGTTTCCTTGTTCATTCATTCGACATGGAGTTACCGAAGAAGGATGAACAATAAGAATTAGTGGATGGTGTTGCGTTCTCACTCTCTTTCGCAGTCACATGCAATGAACAATGCAAAAGCGGTATTTTTGAACTAGAGGCCACGGGCATTCACATCTGACGGTAAGCAAGATCAGAGCCACGTCATAGGGTCAAAATGAGGTCAGCGTATGAGCTGTAACCATACATCAGAGCTCATGATGCATCATGCTAGCAAAAATAGTATTCTTCTTCTTAAATTATAAAATAATTTTAATAAAACTTTATATATCAGAAATTTATTAAATATACTTTACAATAAAATAAAAATATAAATATTTAAAATACTTTTCATTTAATATTCTATTAATAAAAAAATAAAGAAAGAAAATATATAATAAGGATAATATTAAAAAAATATTATAATAATAAAATTTATTTAATCAAAGTATTTTATATTTTGAGACATTAATTTTTTTTTAATATCTTATAATTTAAGATGATGGAATAAAAATAGGTTACAAATACCATAGAATTTTTTCACAAGAGATGTATGATATCTTTAACTTATTATTATTATTACAATATCACCCGTCCTTGTCCTTTCAAAATTAGTGCAAATCAACCCGCGGTTAACATTGACAGTTAAATAGCTTCTTTTTGATTTATAGATGCACGTGGTGGCAAGTTTAAAGCGTTGAGCTGGATGCACTCCCACATTGTTCACTAGCCTCGTCGATAAGTGGAAGAAGAAGTGGCTTTCATGTCTGGGAATCAGAGCAACGTCTGACCAAGGACTTCTTCAGCCTGATCGCCATTGTCAACGACGGAAAGAATGGTGGCTCTGTTGGCGTTCTTCAGCCTGGTGTTTCTACAAAAAAATCACCATGCTTTTCTCTCACAAAAAGAAGCCTTGGCGTGAATTAGTTTCAGGTCCTGGTGCAGAAGCACTTGCTTGATTTCGTTCTTCCATGGAAATTAGTGTGAGTAGAAAGAAAGAAGTATCCATCTTGATTGATTGCTAAGAAAATGTGCCAAAAGGGAAAAACTCGGGGTTTCGATTCCCCGGACACCAAATAAAATCCATTGACAAAACAGTGTTCGATATGGGCCTAGTTTTTTCTTACAAGATCCAATTTCTTGAAAATTTAGCAAACATGAAGCTTCAATTTCATTAGAACACAATTTTTCCAAAAGAGAGAGAGAGAGAGAAGAAAAAACCTCAAAAGCCCTTCGACATCAAAATAAGATCTAAATTCAACCCATCACCACAAGCACTAAAGCAAAAACAGCAGAGTGAAACCAAAAAAATGTATGCATGGAAAATAAAGGGTGCAGACAATCCAGAGACTAACCTAGAATAAACTTCATAAAATGCCCCGACGACCCACTTGGAGACAAAGCTATATCGAGCTAATTAATTCGGTGAAGAAGATGAAGAGTAAGCTTTGTAGCCAGATCCTAGAGACTTGCGGTCCCAAGCTTGATCATCTGGAACCCATTGCTCAAAATGAAGAGGCGTGTTTTTTTGAAAAGTCACGTACTTTTAGAAAATCATGTTTTTATAATTAAAAAATATGTTTATGAAATGTTCTTAGAGAATTATAGTCATTAAGCCATGTCTCTCTAAATTTTAAAAGTACCTTTGAATGATTATAAAACTAAAAATGTTACTTGATACAAGGAAATAATTTCAAGAAAACTCTACATATTAAAATAATATTTTTTTATAAAAGATTATTATAAATAACCCTTGATTCATGAACAAGGAAGTTCATGAATTAATATAACACCCTAGAATCTTACTACCAAAAACTCAATCAAATAACATAATGATAAAAAGATTTAAATTGATAAAAGCAATTACCATAATATAAAAGAGTAAAAGCCAGTTCCTTAAATTTATTATTTTATTTAGATAACCATGGTAGGAAAAAAATTAAACTTATTTGAAGAGTTAACATGGTTATAAAGAGATTTAGTTAATAAGTAATTTAAAAAAAAACTAATCTTGATAGAAAAGGATTAAACTAGTTACAAAGGCTACCAAGATTTAAGGTTTGACCTTACTATTTAAAACTATAAATAATCCTACCATGGTAGATAAAAACAAACTAAAAATAATATCTTTTTTTTTTAAAGACTAGGCTTATTAAAGCAAGCAAACACGCTTGTGATATCCATCACAAATAGTTAAATATTTATTTTAATAAAAGCCGTAAAACATTTAAATTCTATATTCACAACAATATTTATTCTATATAAATGAGTCATGCAATTTCTATGGACTCATGTTTCAACTAACAATACTCTTATTAGTTATCAATAAATAGTGAACTATTTTAAAAATAACCCAAATGATGAAATGAGTCTTATACTAGCAATTGATTATTCTATAAATTGAAATGGGATTTAAAGCTTACTCAAGCTAATCTTAAGCTTTCAAATCTTTCTCTTTTGCTCGGCTAAGCTTACCCAAAATGATAAGAGAGGGTGAGTACTAGCATCTTAGTCCTAAAGTTTTTACTATATATGTGCAAACTAACAACCATCACAACAACATTATATGCATACATATAGTTTCATCATTATTATTCAATTATCCAACACAACATATCACCATCATTCATATTCATAATATTTATATGCAGTATGTGGTCATATGCAAGCTAGGTAATAGCCCTTATTACTTTGTCCAATTTTATACCATTGATTTGAACTATAGGCTTATTCATGGTCCGGCTACACATTGGACCAACCAAAGCATCTTTGGTGCTCGAGATGTACCCACCAAAGGTACAATATCTAAACCCAAACTATAGCTTCCCTCCTTAAATAACCCAACAAGGAGGTGTCATTGTCCTACTTTCTCCCTTTACAAAACCTTGTTAGATAAGTATTAAAGAACAAGACTTGCATAAGATCAAATATTATGTGTAAAGTAGAGGCGAACCATGTTATTACTGATTATATATTTCAACATCATCATCTTTTTCATCCCATCATTAATGCATGCCATGCAAATGCAACAAGCATAGTTACAAGTAGGTTTTGGAGGAATTATGATACCTTATTTAATCATGGTAATAAGTTACAATCACGCTTGATAGGATTAAAGTAACTCATCAAAATTCATTATCATATTCTTTATGATTTTCAACAATTTATCATGTAGTCTACAAACATGTATCATGCTCATTTAATTAAAATTATACATGGCGATACTTGTATTAATTACCATACCAAATATGGTTCTCATAATAAATTTAGATATATTATTGGAGAAATTTTTTATCAGTAGAAAGATATCAAAAAAATCTAATAGATCCCACCTTAGATTTCTCACTTTTCAGAATCTAAAAACTAAATAGATATGAACAGAACATAATATTTGAAATATTACCTAGTCTTAGAAAGACTAAAATCACCTTTGAAATATTTGATCACGAACCTAACTTCTAAAATTTCAGTGACTCGCGTTCCTATCTCTCTTTTTCTGGCACATTGTTGCTGTAACAAAATCAAGAACGAATGGTGCGCTTCTCCTTTCTGATGGCTTAGGTTTGGATTAAATGGGGGGGGAGTGGGCCTTAAGCCCACACTAAAACTCTTTTATAAAAACTTATGATATATCTTATTTTTTCCTCAATATACATTTTTATTTTTGAATCCTCCTTAATGTTATTATTTTGCTAGAAATTAATCCTTATAAATCCTTTATTATTTTTTATTTTATATATTTCTAATCCTCAATATATAATCAGCAAATTTTTGTATACATTAAAATCCCTTTTTATGCCTCACAATTATATATAATTATTTTATTACCAAAAGATTAAAATTTAAGATGTTATAATTAACATAAGGTTGTTCATGAACCAATATAAAGGTTATGAACTAACATGGTTTATTACTTTTAAGAAGAGTTTTATGCTTAAAAAGTATCACTTCAAGGCATTATTTAATTATCTGTAAAATATCATTTACCATCACTCATTTGGAACATCTAAAAAAGAGATCCATCGATTGAAATTCATTACCTTCATTCTTTAAATGCACAAGAGATAAAGTTAACCATTATTATCTTGGTTTGAGTTTTGGTAATGCAAACCCATACTTCAAATTTGTCATTGTATCCTGAAAGAAATTTATCATTAACCCAACTTACTCCCCAAGATTGAAATAGATGGGGGCAAATTATGCCTAAAGAAAAGTGTTACCCATGCCTTTAAAATGACATGCATAACTTTTTTCTTTATCTTTATTTCTTTTGTCAAAGAGCTATTCCTGCCAACACAAAATACTTGACATAACTCGAACAAACAAGGCATCAAGTTAGAAAGGTAAAAAAAGGCAATATTGTTTCCACAAAAAATCAAGGATGCTTGGTGCTCTTCGTAACATTTTTACCCTCTAGCCCTTTCATAAATTACATGCAAAATACCAGCATTTTAATTCAATTGGACGAACAAGACAAGACCAAGTACACTTAGAGAGAAGGAATCTCCTCCTTGCATTAATTGCAATGCCCACCGTCAAGTTTTTGGATTTTTTCTTGGGAACATTTTAATGGGAACAAAGATTTATTATTTGCTTTTGATACCTAATAGACCTAAGGTCATGTTTGGTATGATGAAAGAGTTTTTGATGGAATTGGAATTAAAATTGAAATCAAAATTGAAATTGAAATTGAAATAGAATTGGATTTGAGAGTGTTTTTGGTATGACGATGGAATTTTAGCATAAATTTAATAAAATATGTGTACTTAGAATAGGAAAAGACCAAAGTGCTCTTTTTAAAATTAAAAAAAAAACTTATCCCCAACAGCCCCATTCCTCTCCTTCTTAAAAGCATGACATCACTGCCTCCTCCCCTTCCTCATCTAATGATTCCAGTTCGCATTGTCAAATGGGTGGATGAATCACTTCCTCCTTGTCCTTCTCATTTGATGAGCATCCTTGTCGTTGTCTGTCACTACTTTCTTTTTCTTCTCCTCCAGTAAAGACCCCCTCCCATGGTCTGTCACTACCTTCCATGGTTTATCGTCACTGCTTTCTTCTTCTTCTTCAACAACATTTGACTGAATAAGAAGCTAAAGACCAAAAAAGAAGAGAGGAGGAGATCAATGCAGATGATGATTTCCTTCAAGTAGGGTTACAACAATACCATTGTGTCGTCTAGTGCTGCTTGATTCTTCATCGTCATCCTCTAAGTATGAGCATCACAACCTAAGACCACCTACTTCATCTTCCTTATCTACCTCATGCATTGCCAGATTCACACCCAAACCAAGAAGCAAGTTCTCGATAATATCACTCATACAACATCTATTTTTGGATATTCATGCCTAGACCAATAATGCCCATAGAGACAGAGAGATAGAGAGAGGTCACGAGAATGCATGGTGAGAGAGAGAGAGAGAGGCAGATAGAGAGAGACGCGAATGGTGATGGGTCCTTCATTATTGATAAGAATGCATGATAAAGGTCCTTTAACGTTGGCGAGAACACATGGTGATAGCTCCTTCATTGCCGGTGATCATTCTTGAACCAAGCCGCGTCGAAGATTTTGCTGCCTCACATGGACCGTCGAGACAAGGAGTAATGGTGGAGGAGTCGCTGGGAAAACATAAGATAGGAAGACAGAGACGTGTGATGTCGAGATTAGAGCATTGAAGTAGAGGTTATTGAGGTCTGAAGGAATGAATTTCATGAATTCATCTAATTTCATAGAGTATGAGAAAGAATTGGATTCCATTATTTTTGCTAGAATCAAATTCCTTAGGAATCACAACTCTTGCTTTCCAAATGCATTTGTATTAAGATTCTATTTCTGATTCCATTTCTTTCTACCAAATTCAATGATACCAAACAGGACCTAATGAATTCTCTTGCTTGAATAGGGGTTTGGTTTCGGTGCATAAGGAGCACCAATGGACTAGCCAACCGTCCAAATCAAAACAAATTTTATTTTATAATAATTAAAATAAAATTATAAAAAATAATAAATTTATTTTTATTATCAATTTAGATAATACAAGTTTAATCTTATGGTCTACTTGATATTAAAATTTTTTAAAATTTTTACAAATTAATTTTCTAGAGCTTTTCTGGACAGTTTAATTTTAAAATTTTAACTCACAATTTTCTTTAACTTTTTTTTAAAATATATTATCTTTAATTTTAATATTCTTATTACTAAAATAAAAAATTTAATCTTAAATTTAAACTATTTCACATATATTTGGACAATACATTTATCAAAATTATGAAAATTTTATTATTAAATGGGATATTCATTATTTTGTTGTATAAAAAAAATAAACTGTCTAAATTAAATCTATATATCCAATGATTGATAAGACAAATTTATTAAAAAAATTAATTTTTATTTTAATAAATATTAAATAAAAAATAAAATAAAAACCTGTAAATCTGAAAGCCAAACCAATTCCCTTGAGTAGTCTACCAAACATGCTTGAAAGTCGGTTAGAGTTAGGCGAGGCTTGCATTGTCGCCATCAACAAACTTAACAGTCAACTTGGAAACCAGCCGCCCCAGTCCTACCCACAAAATAAGCATTTCTCATGCCCACCATACCAACGTTTAATGCCCCATGTGGAAGCCATGAATCGAATTTAAAATTCGCGAGATTTGCCAGCTTAGGCTTATCTTTACCTCAAGCCCAAGCAGGTGCCCTAATCATGCATTATTGCGAAACCAAAAGCTCACACATTTTCAATGCATTTGGGAATGGGGAATTCATGGCGAATCCCGAGAAATTCGAGCTTTGGCCTCTGATAAAGTGATCGTCGTTGTCCTGTGACAGATCATTTCTCAACCAGAGATGTTGAATCGCGACAGATTGTTCTGGGTGAAGTTGAGCGGGGTGGTAAATTTAATTGTAACGCTCTACGGGGTTGGAATTATTCTGTATTGTCTTTGGTTTCTGAAAACATGGCAAGAGAAAACAGTTGGATTGCCTTTCTCAGCCACACCATTGTAAGTTTCGTTTTCTATTCTCCCTCTTCCGCCTCATTCTTTTTGTATGTCAATGGTTCATCACAGAAAACTCTTCCAACTCCTAATCAGTATGTTCCTGGTTCCATTAGTGGTTCTGTGTTTTTAGACATCACCAAATGGCTGCTCCGCGTACTGATTTTACTCGGTTCTATCACTCTTGTGAACTGTGATACTTGATTTATTTTCAAGTTAAATGCTGTTCTGACCTTTACCAGTGAACAGCTGAACTGAAAGTGGTTCTGTCAAATCACAGAAAAATCATGATCTCCAGACGAACAGCTTTCTCCAAATAGATAATTCATTTCCATGCTATTTTGGGTGATTTTTTAGCTGTGACAAATTGGCGCTTCTGCTTCTGCTGAACAGGTTTATACATATATGTCTGGCCATAGGAATTGCTCTCTGCTTAGGCACGACGTGTGGTTGTGTAGTCGCCAACTGGTTCAGCGATTGGATGCTTTCGATAGTATCCTCTTCTTTGAAGATTTTTCTATTAATTTTCTTTCACACTCACAGACATTGTTCCGTCGTAAATTTAGTTGGATCCTTTACAAATTTCAGTACATTGTGATCATATGCTGTCTTGTTGCGTTGGAAATTGCTGTGGTTGTCATTATATTCATCACGATGGACTGGGTAGCGGTATGCTTTCTCAAATTTGTCATATTAATCTTCCATAGCATCATCATTGGCTAGAGACTTCCAAGAAAAACCCAGCTTACATAAAAGATTCATCTTCAAAATATAGCTAGTTGAGTTTTTTGTATTGGGGGGTCATTGCTTGTTGATGATTTCTTTTTCTTTTTTCTTTTTTGATACAGATACTTGTTGATAATTTCTATCAGAGAGACTTGATTGAATTTCATTTTCTTCTATAGAACTTTTTATTGTTGATAATAATAACAACTGAGCAAGGAAGATAACGGCATAGCTTGGGAAGAGTCTCACAGTATAGTGAGAATGGATAATATGTTAGTATGATGGTCTTACCATTATATAGATAACTGGTCTCATTCAACTAATGGATATCTTCATTCTTATATATACTTGTTTTTGTTTTGTGGCAGAAAGTAAATGAGATCATTGACACGAAACATTCAGAGTTCAGGATTTTTATCCTTTTCCATGTGTGCATGTGTCGCGTTATTCTTCTGGTATCATTAGTACCTCAGGTAATAACTAACTAAATTCTAGCAGTTGATGTTTTCAAGCAGAGGCTAGTTCATTCAAATGCTGATATTTAGCAGTATAAACAAAGAATTTAGAGAGATTGTTGAAGCCTTTGTTAGAAATTAAATCATTGTTGAAGCCTTTGTTAGAAATTAAATCTGGTTGTTGCACGTGATTTTGCAGATAACTGCAATTGCTTTGGCTATTGGTTTGCTGGCTCTTGGTACTCAAGCCGCGAGGTCTGGCTGTGGCAACCCTTCTGTAATACCTGATTTTCGTCAATCCTTTCTAGTTTTGCGCAGCTCACGTGTACATGAGGAATCAACGCATCAACTTTAGCTCTCATATTTGATGTCAAGTTTTGAGCAGAACACAGCTAAAAAGAGAAAAAAAGAAAAGAAAATCAGAATAAGTTGTGACTGCGTTCAAGAGTTGTTAAAATACATGGATAGCAACCGAGCGTAATTTTGGCCAATCCCCTGAGCATAAACTGAATGCGTCATAATAAATTAGTAGGACCAGAATGCTTCTACAACACGTGGTTTAATTGGTGTTGGCGAGAGGATGCAATTTTTGGTCCCAAATGTTATTGGGGTGCTGCCTACTGGGTCAGAGGATCACGTGTCGCTCACAAGTGGCACCAAATTTTTGATCCCCCTGGCAACTACCACTGCATTGATGATAACCCAACTTTGAATATTTAAAGCGCTTAAACCATGTTAAAGTATGTGAAGAAATAGAATTTATTATACATAAGCACATTTCTTGCATCATTCTACCGTTTTCAAATATTAAAAAAAATTCGCACAATTCAAAAAAATTAGTTAAGTATAATAAATATGTTTGAAATTAAAATAAATTAGATTAAATTATCCTTGTTATAATGAAAAAAAGTTATTTAGTGAAAATGGTATAGAAACCAGAAGGGAGAAAAAATGAGATTCAATGGAGGGTTATTAAAAATGTTAATTTTCTGTTTTGGAAAATAAATAATAACTTCATGAAAGACAGTTTAAAAAAATATATGATAAACGTTTCGTAATATAAGACCCATCGTTATCTTGTGGACTTAATATCTCGATTTTACTATTATAGATATAATCTATTTTCTTGTGCAATGCATAAAAGATGAAAAATAAGATGTATTGTCATTGATCATGAATCGTCCAACTAATTATAAATTTTATTAAGATAATATTGAATGATTTTGAAAGATGTGAGTTTTAATATTATATTTTATTTTATGATTAATATATCATATAGATTCTATATAGAGCCATAATATTTATAATCCATTAATCATACAACTCATTTCATACGTTATATTCTATGTATGAGGCTCTTATATTATCTGGAATTGTAAGGCTATTTAGTTTTCAATAATTTATGTGAAAATGCCATGAATCATCTTTCTTTGTGACCATAAGATTGAGCTTGCAAATGGAGTGAAACTGGGTTGAATAAATCCCTTTGTTAGCAGTTCTTCTACTTGCTTCTCAATTTATTCTTTTTAATAGTGTGGGTACCTATATGGTGAAAGGTTAGGAGGGTTAGTCCTTGAATGGAGGCAAATTGGTAAGTTCTTCAAAAATAGAGGGAAATTTTTCAAACAGTGGCTCTGGATTGAAATATTGGAATAGATCAGACTTAGGGGAAGCATCTATTGATTGTATTGAATTAAACTAAGCACCCTTAGTGTTATGAGGGACTCCTTGAAGCTTATATCTTTTGCTATTCACAAAAAAAAAAAAATCATAAATAGTTGATACCATTTGGCTTGCACTTTCTCGAAAAATGCTAGTCACTTAATATCAAGGACTAGATCAATCCCTCCAAGAGTACAAAGGTAGAAGTCTTCCTTAATAGTCAGCTTTGTTAGTTAGACTTCTATATTTTTACATATTCGATTGTAATGTACAATACTACTATCATCAATTTAGCTTCCAAAGGTAGAAATATACTAGGTAGGAAAGAGAAGATCTTGTACTAGTGAATGAAAGATAAAGTTGTGAGTGGATCCACTATCCACCAATAACAACACCTCGCAATCGAATAGCATACCTCTAAGTTTCATGGTAGACTTGGTATTGCTTATAAGAATGGCATTTACAGAAATTTCTGCACTTTCAAGTTCTGTTTCTTCATTCTCAGCTTCTTTAAGAGGAGGCATGATTTCCTCTCCTTCATTTGCAATTTCTAGCAATGCGAAGGATCCTTTGCAACAATGCCCAGGCTTGAAAATTTCACCATAATGGAAGCAAAAACCCTTCTCCCTTCTTCTTCGGTGTTTGGCGTCCATGGTATATGGCTTGGACAAGTTCGCGGTCGTTGGTTTGAGAGCAGAAGAGGATGACGTAGAGGCTAGAGCTCGATCGGTGGACGCCACTTTTATCGACCATTTTGTATCACGTGCGGAGTAGGAGGAAGCATTAGTGAACTGGGTTTGGTTTTGAATTGAGTTGGGCTTAGGTCCATAAGCACTCATATTCCCTTCAAATTGCAGGGCAAGACTCACCACACGATAGACACTTCTAGGTTTGTGAATATACACGTTCGAACGCAGCTATGCTCTCAGGCGAATTAGGAAAACGCCGAGGAGATAGTGTTTGGCCAAATTTTTTACTCTGGCTGATCGCTTTACAAACTTTTGATGGTATTCTTGCACGGTGCCTGCTTGTTTGATGTTGCAGAGATGTTCATTGGGATTCTAGTATTCGGGTGGACCATAATTTTCTTGCAGCACAATCACCAACTCTTCCCAGTATAAAAAGGTACGTTTAGAGTTTATCCATGAAAATAAGTCTAATGCGCCTCTTTCTAAAAACATCGAGGCTATATCAACCTTTGATTCCTCCAGTGTATAGTAGTATCGGAAGTACTTCTTCGCCTTAAGAATCCATCCCAAGGGTCTTCTCCATTGAATTTGGGGAATTCAATTTTGGGTTGAGGCAAACGAGGACCCCTCTTGTAGTAAAAGTCTGATTCTTTTTCACTTTATTCTTCCCAGTTAATCTGTCTTCGCCGGTCTTCCTGAGTTCTTCTGTTTATGTGTATGGAAGGGGCTTCTATTGCCTCTACTTTTTCTTGTAGCAAGGTAAGCTTCTTAAGTTGTGATGCAATAATAGCCAAATGGTCGGGTGCAGTTGGGTTTGGATTTTCTAGGTTTTATATATCAGAGGGTGTATCGTTGGATTAGGTGGCAGGGGGTTTGATAGTTTCATTCCTAGTATGCGTGATAACCATGATTAACCGGCTTTGATGCCAAATTGATGAGTATTTAAAATAATAAGAGAAAATAAGAGAAATAATTAATTTTTTGGAAGGTGATAATTAATTTTTTTCTTTTGTCCACTTAAAGACAAAGACAAAGAATTTAATGTTAGAAATCAGAATAAAGTACTGGTAAGAATTATTCGTAAACAATGAAATGATAATTTAACTCTTAAAAAATCATAGTTCTGTGTTGTTTCATGAATTAACACAACTTTAATAACTAATAGTTATTTAAAATAACTTTTTATAAAAAGTAATATTCTTTTAATATGCAAAGTCTCTTTAAACTAACATTTTTTTAATCAAGTAGTGATTACCACATCTTCTGATTTTATAACCTCTAAAAATGTTTAGACATTAGCAAGACAATCTTAGTGATTTTTGGTGTCGTAACTTTCTGTGTAACCTTTGATAATTGGGAATATTAATGAAGGACTCCTAAAAAAATTGTAACATCTAATACCGATTTCTAACAAATAAATATCAATAAATTGGGCAATAAAATTATTATTTTAATAAATATCCGATCAGTCTAGAATCTTGATTAGATATTACATTATTTCAAAGGTGTTTCATTGATATTTTCCCATAGAAATTTCTTATTTTTTCATCTCTTTAATTTAAAAATATTTCAACAAAAACTTCCTAGTAAAATTATTATTTTAATAAGTATTTGATTTTTCTAAAAATATGATTAAATATTAAATTATTTCAAAGGTGTTTCATTGTTCTTTTCCCACAAAAATTTCTTACCTTTTCATCTCTTTAATTTTAAAATATTCCAACTAAAACTACCAATCCTAAATTAGGAGAGGCCATGCTTACTCATATAATCAAGGAGATAATTTTTGTCCAAAATGTATTTTCTTTTATAATGAGATGTATTTTTTTATTTATCTACGTATGTGTTCTTATTAAAATAAAGTGTAAATGATCAAATTAATTTTTTAAACTTTAGGTTCAATAATATCATAGAGTTAAACTTATTTATCGTGCAAATTATTTTCTTAATTTTTAAAAATGATGTAATTTGGCTTTTGCGATTAATAAAGACGAACTTAGACCATTTGTTAACAAAAAATAATATAAAATGACCTATAATTTTTAAATTCTTCTCTGCAATCTTGGGTTCTTTTTTTTTTAAAAAAAATTTTGGTTCTTTTCTATTCTCTTTGTCCTATTCATTGGGTAAAGGGAAAATAATTTTTTTTATTTATAAGTTATTTTATTAAATTTTTATCATAAATTTCTCTATTGCCCTTCATTAAATGTTAGAGAGAAAAAATATATTGTTAAAACATGTATATTCAATAGATATAAAATAAAGAAATTAATAAATTTTTAGATAAAGTTAATAAATTTTAATATTTTTTAATTCTGATAAAATATATTGAAAATAACTTATAAATAAGATTAGATGAATATAATTTTTGAAGTTATTTCTATCCTTTTTTAACCAATTGACTATTAAAATTTACTTTTATTACTGGTAAAAATTAAATTTTACCATTTTCAAAAGTTAAAGAATCAATTTACATAATAAATGATTTAAGATATATAACACTACTTGATCCAAATTTTAAAGAATAACTTACTCATTTATTATAAAAACAATGCTGGATCTATGGCTAGTAAGTGATTCTCCTATCATTATATAGAGGCTGGCGTGTACCGGCAGACGACTCCGACCCACCATTTTACCAGAACACCCTTTTACGTTTATTTTTTGCAGAGAAAAAATGAATTTCAAAAACTAATTGACGATATTATTTTCTTTTCAATCACGAATTAGTTCTGATTACTATGAAAGCAAAAGGAACAAAATCAATTTTAAAAATACATTCTATAAATATAAATATAAATGTCACAAGAATTGCAAACCCTAATCAACGGAGAATCTAAATATAATTGTCACAAGAATTACAAACCCCAATCAACTGGACCTTTAATTATAACAATTAACAGGCAGCTATCTACACCCTTTCAACAAATATGAAGAGGGGCTAGAGAAGGTCATAGCTGAAGATTTGTTCTCCTTTCCTGGTGTTCCGCATTCACTAAAGTCGAGAACCCGTCGCTCCATCTGCAAACAAACTTAACTTAGCTAGAAGGGCATATAATTGGCGATGCAAAAAATTCGCCACAGAAAAGAAGGAAGTTGAATTATTGAGTAAATAATATGGCTTTACCAAAGCGTTTGAAGAAGCTAACTGAAAATGATTGCCAGGCTGATTATGAGGATCTCTTCTTTCCTGGTCCACATCCCCGGCATTTCCAGATGCATCTTTTGCTTTGGGAGTGTCAATTTCCAAAATCTCCTCAGCATTGGCATATGCAGCCGCAGTTTGTTCCTTGACCTGCTTCATCCATCCAATTGCATCGTAGCTTCTATCGCCTGGGCTCATTAAATACCCAAAATCCTGTCGATATATTATATGTAGAGTGTTAGTGGGAGAAGCAAATGCAATCTGCATGAAGACAAGAGACATACAACAGAACTTTAAGTACCTCAATCGTTATCTCAGTATCAATTCTGGGGCTAGGCAGAAAAGTGTTAATGAACCAAGGGGACTTCCATGATGAAGGTGATTCGATGCTTCTTCTAAAAGGTGTTCCACCAAATCTGGCAACAAAACCCACAAAACAAGCAATCAGTGACCGCAAAAGGTACCTCCCATTGGAGGTTTCAGGAGCAAGATGTGTCGGCATCATTCCACAACCAGCCAAAATAAAGAATGAATGATGAAAGAAGGAAATAGTGAGCAATGACACTTCAAAAATAAAAATGAACACGAAGTAATGAAATGGATATTACATGTTGAATGTTTCAAAACCAGCATCATCCCTAGTATGATCACCAGTATTCTCCCCGGGGGCAGATGAACAATGAGATGGTCGGGCTGAAGAAATTTCATGCTCCTTTGCACGAACAGAAGGAGAGCAATCACTTGTGTATGGATTTACATAAAATGATTTTGGAGGGATATTCTGATTCGGAACTGCTTCCAAGCTTCTGTTGTTGAGGTTTTTGGGGGTTTTAGCTCTTGAACTGTGAGTACTATCCGAGCCAAAATGAATTTGATCTGGAGAATACAATAGCAAGTCATTCATATCATGTTCGCTCAAGACTCCGGAAGCTTGCTGCACCTGATAAGGTATAGAAAAAAGAATTAAGAATCTTGACAAATTACTAGTTTATCACATGTCTTATGTCTAACAAATTAAAGGTAATGTGAACACAGTACTTACAATCTCAGCTGCAGCAGTAGCGTCAACATCAGTCTCCATCTTCGAATCAGCGTCCCGAGTATTTTCATCGGTATCTTTTTCTGACTCTTTGCACCTCAAAATGTTAGATTCCTTTTTTCCCTCTAGATGTTCTCCTTTCAAAGCTGGCCTATAATTTTCTTTATCATCATCAGAGGTTCCGTTTTTATTCTTCTGTATTGAAGATGGAGGAAGCATATTTGCGGCCTGAGCTTCATTGTCATCAAACATGACATCCAAACGTGAAAAATGTGTAGTCAACGTGGATGTCATGTCGGTCTCATGTTTCTTCTCAATTCTCTTATCTGATAATGGTGATAACAAGTCCCGGCGTCGCTTCTTTAATATGGATGGTGTACCAGTGAAAGTTTTTGCAGCACTTCTCAAGAAAGCATCTGGACTATCATCACGAGATGGTGAGTCCCACAGCATCAATGGAGTTGGACTGTTCACTGAAGACATCATGAGCCGGCGGATACCCAGCGGACTGAAATCTTGCTGCATATCCCCTCCATGTTGTATTAGATCACAGCTGAAGAAGGGAATATCCAAGCTTGGAAATCGAGGAGGTTCATAACATAGAGATCCTGTGTCCTCCTGTTCTGTTTGCACATCTGTCTTTTCATCCATAGGATTACGAGTTTGCTGAGCATCCGATGCACAGGTAAAATTATTTACAGGGACCAATCTTAAGGCATCATTCACAATATTGGGTCCATCATGCAATTCAGCACTATCTATAATATCTATGCAAGTTGAGATGGATGAGTCGTTGGGGTAAATGAAGCTGTCACGTGCACTGGAGGCAATGTGCTGATCATCTCCTCCATATAATTGAGCGGCTTCAGCAGTGTACACTACTCTACCATCATTAGCTGAAAGCGACGAGGGAACAATTGGGAAAGATTGGCAGCATGAAGATTCTATTAAATTATTGTATCTTGTTGGACAAGTTTTAAACGCAGCTGAGGTTCGACCAGCATCAGATATCTGGATCTCAGGTGATTGGAAAAGATTTGAAGTGCATGCAGACAAAACCATATCAACACCTTTGTTATGATCTCGAGAGGGAAAGGTCCCATCATTCATTGCATCTGAAAATAGAATTCCACAACATTCTTCACCAGCTATTAACATGTCCTCTGGTTTAGAAGAATCCATAGACGTGGGATCAACAGGTGTTGCGACACCTAACCCAACTGAAGTATGAAATTGAACATTCACAACGTCATGGCTCTCATCAGAAACTGTACAATCTCCTTGCAAAAGCGAGAATTCCTGACCCAAGTCCAATGATGAAATACCGGGTAAAGCATGCAAGTGGGATCCATTATCCATGCCTGCAGACTTTCCAGGCTCGTGTGAGTAGTTTTGCTCAGTGAATTGAGAAGAGGAAGCCTCTTCACGAGCCATGTCTGAGTTGGATATGGTAACATCATCCAGTGGTATATAATATGGGTCTGAACATGATGCTTGACTAGGACTTTGCTCCTTTCCTAGACTAGAACATTCAGTTGGCCTGGTTTCTTCTCTAGTATGTAAAACAACCTTCGTCATTTCTTGGGCAATCGGTGGACGACTAGCACTAGCAGACTCTTGGCTACACTCTGAAACTTCCTCTCCAATTCCCTTCTGACCACTATCATCTCCACTACAAAGTAACCTCGAAGATGTGGAAACCATGGGTTGATTTGGACGTCCAACTTGGGGTATAAGCAAACCTGATGCCAAGTAAGAATCCAATTTCTTTTTGACAGAACTGTTCCAGTGATTTTTTATAGCATTGTCCGTCCTGTTGCCTCAGAAGACAAACACAGCACAATTTCATGTGTTTATGGACAATCAACAGAATGGAAAGAACCAAAAGTGCAAGGATTGATCTCGAAACGAAGAATGTAAACAGAACTTGAGAGTTAAATAGAAGTGAAGATGTGATCCCAAATTTAAGTTAAAGCAGTGCTGCTGCCTCCTTATCACTCCATTCAAATAAGAAAAGGGATTTTTTATATACCTTCCAGGCAAGAACTTCGTCAACTCGGCCCATCTGTTCCCATAAATTTGATGCGCACGTATTAGAGCCAACTCCTCTTCTTGGGTCCATGCCTCTTTGTTTATAGCAGGATTGAGATGATTATGCCACCTAATAAATTATATGTTAGCCACTACAAAGCACACCGCTCCAACTACACGTCAAGACAATATGTGCACTATGATTTATTATGTACTAAGAAACATGGATAAAGGAAATGCAGATATAGATACTTTAGTGACATTCACAAAATAGATGAGCCAGTAAACATACCTTTCTCGGCATTGCTTACCAATTCGTCCGGGCAAGTGCTGTGCAATAGTAGACCATTTTTTTGGCCCATATTTGTTCACCAAATCAATTATTATTTCATCTTCCTGTTTGCATTCAGATTTGACAGGTTATTTAATATGAGGTATCTTATCTGAAAACAAGTACATACGGTCCAAATGATATTTAATATTATATAAAACTCCATGATACAGATACAAAATCAGCAGACACAAGAAACCAGGGGCTTAGATTACCTCTTTGGACCATGGACCTTTGACCAGTTCTGGATTTAAGACTTTCTGCCACCTATGTAGGCATTGTACATCTGTTCTATCCTTGAAACACTCCGCTATAAATAGATATAATTGCAATTAGAAGCAGTTAATAAAAACAATAATGCAAATGAAGATGCATGGGTTTATAAAAATGCTAAAAATAGTTAGATTGCACAGGGACGTACTAGAAATTCAAAAGGGAAAAATCTGTGTTCAAAGCAGCGGAATATTAGTCTGTTTCATTTGGATCCGCTGAGGTGAGAATATACTTTTTGAATTAAAGTAAAGCAAACTGTTAAAATAACTTAAACAAAGAGTGGACACGGTCAAACAGATGCTCTTTGAATGAAGTCGTGAACGTGCTCGTGGATTGGAATTATACCAATTTTCTTCCAATTCTTTCCTTTGAAACGTTGAACTGCCTTCCGCAAGATCTCATCCTGCAAACACCATGACATTACAATCACTTTCTAACATGTAACATTTTTCACGCATAACTGTGAATTAACCATAAAAAAAAAGTACAAGATCCAGTATTCTAAATGCACACTAATATCACAAAGATAAAATATGCCAAGGAAATAAACTAGGCTGGGAGGATTTTAAAAGAATAAGTCAAAGCTGTAGGAAGTGAAAAAGAAAAATATAAATATGCTACATTTGACGTAGAAAAAAAAAATGCCACAGAGCATAATCAGGCTAATAAGAATGTTGTTGCACAATCGAAACAACGTGACCAAGCTATAGAAAGATGAAATATGTACGCATAGCTAACGTTTTACCTCTTCAGGAGTCCACTGTCCTTTCGTAGAACGCCTGGTAGGGCCACTAGTTCGCCTACAAATACAGAACTTTTAGCTAGATAAAAAACGCTTAATGGCATCGCCTGTTCTCAATAGAAGCAAAAACTTGGTATGGTGACCCCAAAAATAAGTGGCCTTTATTCATTCATCAAGAGGGACATACAAAGAAAGAGCAAGGAAATTAAGGTTTTTCATCCTCGCTACCGCTAGTAAGAACCATAGTTTCAGCTCAGTAGAACAACCTGATTTTAACTGGTCAATTGTAAACCATTTCACTACTAAAGCAAATAACAGCTCCAAAAATAAACATGTCAAATGGTAAAGGTTAAAGGTGCTAGGCACTAAAAAGAAATACCATCAACCGGAGGGTGCCAAATAGTAACCTGTCTATCACACTAACCTTTTCTATTTTGGGTAAAACTTGAAAGAATCTCAAAGGACAAAAGCATAAATGCATTGTAAATAAGTAATATCATTGAAATATAAGGCGAAAAAGCACATAAATGGTTTGGACAATTACCCATGCAGGGCTCTAATTTTCTGAACACTGTCACTGAGCCCATCTGATGGAGCTGGGGTTGTCTTGTCACCTTCCATAGTTTGTTGGAAGACAAGCAAAATAGCATACCCCAAATCCTACTTGAATGCAATTCCGTCCAGAATTAGCACTCCAAATCATTATAATTACTCTAACAAGTATCAGGCACGGGGTTCTGAAACGAGACAATGTGAAACAGAGAGGAGTAAGAACATTTTCTTCGACCAAACAAAAAAAATTCATTAATAGTTTAAGTGGTAAGTCATAACTAATAATGGCGGAAAGGAAAATAAATAAATGGGGAAAAAATCGAATTCATCCATGAAGCAAGAAATATTGATCCTAATACTTGGACCATATTCATACCCCACGTCAGTATCCAGGGCCACATTACCTGCTCACCTTTCTTTCCCTTTACATGAACTGACACTGTAACTCAATCACATAGGTATATCCTAGAATCATTCTCGTTCCCATCGAACACTAGAAGTGTTTCGTCCATTTGGCAGAGTTGGGGGCAAATCCCCTAAAGTCGGATTTAGTGAAAGTCAAGTTAAAGAATACATCTGTGAAATTCATATTGATATTTACAGCCGCCGTAAGATCGGATCTGGTGAAATTCAAATTACAGAATCCAGTGTACATTATAGGCAGTAATCTGATGGAACTATGCTCATTCTAATCAGACGAGTGAAAATCCGCGCTAACCAAGCACAATTACATTCAGTACGACGTACTAACATGATATCTTTATTCTATGCAGAACCATAACGACGACAAAGAAACAGGAATTCAGCGGTTTCAAACAACGCAGGACCTTAAAATGTTATCGGCCCATAAATTCAGCGCACCACTTCCCACTCCCGCAATGACAAAACGATTGTAATAAATGTGTGTGTGTGTGTGTGTATAAAAGCATTCAAACGAAAGTATTTGGTATAAAGAACCATAAGCTGGGATTCTCCATTTCTATGACTTTCGGTTTGAATTGCAACCTCATCTGGGATAGAAGAAAGGATTCATGACTGATTCGGCTAATTAGATCATTCAAATTCAAATTTACGATATTCAGAGTCCTTGATGAAGTAGGTAATTGTTCGATAAACGTCATCAAGGTCGGAGAAGCAAAATGTAAATAAAGTACAAAAAGTGAAAGACACTTACCGAGCTGAGCTTCAGATAAGATGCCAGAATAACATATAAACGATGAAACGACCAAAATGGTGTGCATTTGAAGATCCAATCAGTTGTAAGGAAGATCTACAGATGAAGAGCGATAAGTAGACTTGTGGGCGAGTAAGACGATCCGAAGCTCTCAATTCAAAGTTCAAACATGGAGGGGCGGACTCAGAAGTTTCAAACCCTATGGTTAAGGGTCGAGCACTTGGGCGTATGGACGGTGAGGATATTGACACCTAAGAATTGAACTGTACTGCTTCTCAGCGATTCTGCCGTCATTTTCAAGTTCAACGGGCAATTTGTTATGCGAGAATGACAAAAGGATACCCAGCTTTGCAAACAAGAGTTAAGAATCGAAATATGATAATTATTTTAGTTCCTAGTCTAGCATTTTGATTTTTTATAAAACGATGTAGTCCAGAGGATAGCTTAGAATTGTGGGTACTGGTTCTTGCAGGCTTGTCTTTCATAAATTCTGAATCATCCTCAGAATCTTTCACAACTAATTTTGGAGTAGGTTAGATCATAGCAATTTTAATAATTATATTATTGATTAAAATAGAATTAAAAATAATTACATTTTTTGTAAATTTATTATTTATAAACGCATTAAAAATATCTTACTTTTTACATTAAAAAAATGACTTACTTTTTTCTTGAAAATAACTACTACCTTTTAGAAAATGTCTTCTCTAATTACACTTTATTGGTGAACAAATTTATATAAAAAATAGTAATTTTTTTATTTTTATTTACAATCTAATCAAAATAATCATTTTTATAATAGTCATTAATAACTAATATGTCATTTCATCAAAACTCAAAATGTTAGATAAGTTTATATGAACTAAATAATAATTATCATATTTCACAATATTTAATTGCTATTTGTATATCTAAGAGGTTATTGTTCTATTTATTTTTGCCTACAGCTAAGGCCTAAGTGTGTAGTGTCTTTGGTCAAAAAATTCTTCAGATGCATAATTTTAAGGCTATCAAATAAAATTGAAATCTTGAGTTTGAATTTGTGTGAAGAAAGAAATTATTTTTATAAAATTCACTATCACTTAAACACGGGATTTGGTCTTGAGTTTGAGTTCTAATAAAAAAATTTGACAAAAATATTTTTAATTAAATCTAATGATACTCAAATAAAAAAAATATCAAGCAAAATTTTTTAATTTTATCCAATAGTTAATATCAAAAGCAGTATTACAAACATGTTCCTTCCAATATGTTCATAATAACTAAAGTAGGCTCTTGTATTTTTGTCATGTTAGATTGGGTTAACAATGTGTACCTATTATTTAAGAATGATAAATAATGTAAGTTTATATATATATATATATATATATATGCATGAAAGTATATACTACTTAAAGCATTTTTAATCCTCCCAATAAAGTGCTTCATTATTTTTAAATTAGCACCATTTTTTTATATTTATCCTTATTTAATAAGATGTTTAATTTTAAAATAAATATAAAAAATTATTTATTATAGATATTTTTTAAAACAATATTAATTACATATGAAAATATTAAAAATCTCTAATATTTTTAACATTTGATTTTTTAAAAAATACCTTATAATTTTATCTGAAGGAAGTATATGTATATTTAAACCAAGCCACAGTACTTGCATGATATAAATCGTACAGTTTCTATTACAAGTTTAATTTAAATTTCGATATGTTCTCTTTATAGATGATCAAAAATATTTGAAATACCAAAAAGATCTAAATGTATTCCAATGCTAAATAAAATCACATAACAAATATAAATTAAATTATAAACAAATTAATAAACAAAATTTTGGTTTCAAACTTGAAAATCACCAAAACTAAACTTGGCGCACCAGAATATACAAATTAATAAACAATAATCATGATATATAGAAGCCCCAAACCAGTTGACCAGGTTCAAATCATAGAAAAATCTTAATCATGTTGAGTCTTCTCACTCAGGAGGTTACAGATTACGAATATCATCATAAACCGACAAGCAAGATTATTTTTCTTTAAATCACGAATGATGTCTGATACCTGTATAAGTAAAGGCCAAAAAATTTCAAAAAAACTGACATGCTATATATATATATATATATATATATATATATCATTACAAGAAATGGAAGCTCCTCGCAACCGGAGGCTGTAGCTGTGAGCCGATGACTATAAACAGGCAACTATCTACATCCCTTTAACAAATATGACGAAGGGCTTGAGAAGTTCTGAGCAGAGCCTTTGCCGTTGCCCTCCTTCCCTGGTGTTTTGCACTCACTGAAGTCGAGTATACGTCGCTCGACCTGCAAACGAATTCCATTAAGCCGAGTTTAGACGATGCTAAAAATGTATCAACAAATGTGTTTAAAAAAAAAAAAACAAGAAATCATCACTAATAAAAAAAGATTAAAAAAATGGGTGCATATAGTGTGTTGCGGCTGGGGAAAAAGCTCTAGTTACGATTCTAGTATGATATAATATGTAAGTAAAAAAAAAAAAAAATCAATTGTTCGGCTTTTTATTTCAATGAACTTAAAAATAACAAAAAATTAACCTAAATTTCATTCATATTCATGAGTTCGGTTAGAGAGGATCTATCTTTAGTTTATATTCTGAAATTTGTATAAATAACATTAATATAAAAGATAAAATTTTGTTCATAGAAAAAAAAAGAAAAAAATGTTATGAAAAAAGAAAGTTGGTCTAATTAAATTTTATCAATAAATAGTATACATGCCCCTCAAACAACTAAACTAGACAATAGGAAAGTTTTTTTTCTCTTGCCACTTAAAGAATGATCACCCCGTGTTCTTTTCCCAATTCATTTCTCCTCCATTAAACGCACAAAGATTTGAGACTTTGAGGCAATCAAAGTCAGGTAATCAAGCTTACCAAAGCATTTCGGGGCACCTGAGAATGATTCACGGGCTGATTAGGATGACCCTTGTTTTCCTGGTCTGTATCCCTGACATGTCCAGATGAATCTTTTGCTTTGGGAGTTACACTTTCCAAAATCTCCTGAGCATTGGCATACGCAGCCGCTGTTTGTTCCTTCACCTGTTTCATCAACCCAATCGCATCATAGCTCCTATTGCCTGGGCTTATAAAATACCCAAAATCCTGTGAAGATGTTTGAAGCGTTAGTTGGGGGAAATTACCATATACTTCCAGACAAGAGACATCCAACAGTACTTGACGTACCTCGATTGTTATTTCAGTATCAAGTCTGGGGCTAGGCAAGAAAGTGTTCATGAACCAAGGAGACTTCCATGCTGAAGGTGATTCAATGCTTCTTCTAAAAGGTGTTCCTCCGAATCTGGTAGCAAACACTATCACAGTTAAGTTTCTTACTGAAATAACTCAGCACCATTCAGCAGTCAGCCAAATGAAGAATATACGTACAAGGAAAAATAAACAGTCAGGAGTCAGCAATAATACTACAAAAAAGATAACGTAAAGTAATTAAATGAATATTACATGCTAAATGTGTCAAAACCAGCATCATTTCCAGGATGATCACCAAGGTTCTCGGATGGCACACAAGTAACTGGAAATGAAGAAACGTCATGATTTTTTTCAAGAACAGAAGGGGAGCTATCACTTGAGCATGGGTTTGAAGAAATGCTATTATTTAAAGCTGCTTCCAAACTTCTGTTGTTCAGGTTTTTTGAAGTTTTAGCACTTGAACAGTGAGATTTGTCCGGTTTAAAACATAGTTGATTAGGAGAATATAATAGCAAGTCATTCATATCATGTTCAATTAAGACTCCAGAAGGCTGTTGCACCTGATAAAGGTAAAGAAAAGGGAGAAATATAAGTATATTGGCAAATTGCAAACATCATTTATTTACATTAGAAAAAGGTCGTGAAAACTACTTACACTCCCAGCAGCTTTATCGACCTCGCAATCAACCTTCATCTTCGAATCAACGTAATAAGGTCGCTGGAAATCCTGAGAATCGCTGTCGACTGTCTCTTTCTCTGACTTTTCGTTGCTCAAAAGTGTAAATTCACTTCTTCCTTCTGCATGTTCTCCTTTCAAAGATTGTCCACAGTTTTCTGCATCCTCAACAGTTGCTCCAGATTTCTCTTTCTCCATTAAGGGCTGAGAAAGCATAACTACTTCCCGAGTCCCGTCATCATCAAACATGACTTCCAAACGTGAAAAATGTGTGGCCAACGTGGACGTCAAGTCAATCTCAAGTTTCTTGTCGATTCTCTTGTCTGATAGAGGCGACAATAAGTCTCGGTGTCGTTTCTTCAATATGGATGGTGTACCAGTGAAACTTTTAGCAGCACTTTTTAGCAAAGCGTCTGGGCTATCATCATGAGAAGGTGAATCCCACAGCCGCAGGGGAGTTGGACAGTTCATAGATGACATCATAAGCCGGCGGATACCTAGTGGACTAAATTCTTGTTGCATGTCCCCTCCTGATTGTATAAGATCGCAGCTTAAGAAAGGAATATCCAAACTTGGGAATCGAGGCGGTTCATAACAAAGAGCTCCGGTCTCAAACTGTTCTATATGCGCATCTGTCCTTTCTTCCTCTGAACAAAAAGTAAGCTTGGCATCTGATACACACCCAAATGTATTTACAGGCGCCAATCTTGAAGCATCCTCCACAATATCTGGTCCCGTGTGGATTTCTCCACTATTTATAGCATCCATACAAGGAGCAAGGGATGAGTTGTTAGCATAATAAATGAAGCTATCCTGAGCCCTGGAGACAAATTGCAGACCATCAGCCCCAAATAGATGGTTGCCTTCAGCTGCATACACTAATTCACCATCATTAGCAGAAATCATTGGAGATTGAGAGCATGAAGATCCTATTAAATCATTAGATTTTAGGGGACAAGTTTGCGGTGCTGAGGTTCCACCAGTCTGAGGCATATGGATGTCAGATGATTGGCCAAATAATGAAACGCATCCGGATGAAACTGTATTAACACTTTTGTTATAATCTCCTGAAGAAAAGCCTCCATCATTTATTGCCTCTGAATATAGGACTCTACAACATTCTTCATTAGATATTAACATGTGCTCTTGTTTCGCAAGATCTATGCATGGGGGTCCCATGGATGTTGAAATACCTGATCCCACTGAAGTATGAAATTGGACATTCACAATGTCATGGCTTTCAACACAATCTGCCATTTCCCTTCGAACAAGTGAACATTCCTGATCCAAGTCTGATGAAGCATTGTTAGGGAGGGCATGTAAGGTAAACTGAGCATCCCTGCTTGCAGAATTTCCAGGATCATATGAGTATGTTTGCTCAATGAAATCAGAATTAGAAGCATCTTCACGAGCAACATCTGAAATGGATATTGTGACGTCATCCAGAGATATGCAATATGGCTCTAGACAAGATGCTTGACTAGGACTCTGCTCCTTTCCTAGACTGATATCTTCACTTGGCTTTAGTTCCTCGGTTTTATTTAATGCAACGTTTGTCATATCTCTAGCAGATGGGAAGCAACTAACATTAGCTGACTCTTGGCTACACTCAGAAACTTCCTCTCCTTCAGTACCCTTATAACCATTATCGTCTCCACTACACTGCTGCCTCAAAGCGGTAGAAACCACGGGTTGATTTGGATTTCCAGCCAGGGGTACGTCTTGGAACTGAGTAAGCAAACCTGATGCTAAGTAAGAATCCAATTTCTTTTTTACTGAACTGTTCCAGTGATTTTTTATTGCATTGTCCGTCCTGTTGCCTCACAATACATGTAAATCACATCTTCAGGTGCTTATAAGCGATGAGCAGAAACAAAAGAACCAAAAGGGAATGGCAAGACTAGATATATTTTTATGACATCATACATAAAGCATTAAAAATGGAAAAACTTCAATGTAAACGGAATACATGATCGCAAATTTAAGAGCATGTCCATTTGCCTCCTTTTCACTTGCTTCCAAAAAAAGAAAAAAGCTGTGTACCTTCCAGGCAAGAACTTGGTCAATTCTGCCCATCTGTTCCCATAAATCTGATGAGCGCGTACTAGTGCCAGCTCCTCTTCATAGGTCCACGCTTCCTTGTTTATAGCAGGATTAAGATGATTGTGCCACCTAATAAGTTGCATTTAATTAAATTAGTCAAAATGAAGTACATCGCTCCAACAATACTTCAGGGAAATCAAGACAAAGCCTGTGCTTACTATGATCTATGTATTAGAACATAAATATAAAGGAAATACAAATAAAAAAACCTTCAACACACTTGCTAGAAGATTCATCAAAAGTACCTTTCTCGGCATTGTTTCCCGATGCGTCCCGGTAGGTGCTGTGCAATAGTTGACCACTTTTTTGGCCCATATTTATTCACTAAATCAATTATTATTTCATCTTCCTACTTGCATTCAAGAATAGAAAGGTAAGTATGCATCTTATCCGGAAAGAAAGTCTATAAAATGCCGAACGGCAGCAAAAATTCCAACATGCAGAGATCAAATCAACATAAACAAGAAATTGGGGGTGTGTATATTACCTCTTTAGACCATGGACCTTTGATCAGTTCAGGATTTAAGACTTTTTGCCACCTATGTAGGCATTGTACATCTGTTCTATCCTTGAAGCACTCCGCTATAAACAGTAAACATTGACAATTGCAAGTCGAAACTAAAGCAAAAGAATGCAAAACAAAGTTTCTTAATTGCATCTAAAAAGTACTTGAGTTGGTCAGATCACGGATGGCCCACAAATTAACATCCTAGAAGACAGCCCAAGCAGGACGAAGTAAAAATAGACGATCCCTCAACAGCACATAAGTTTATTTACGTTTACGCCAATAAAACTATTGTCAAATTCAGGGAAAGTACCCTTTCACTCATAACTACTTGCTAGCACACGATCCAGCGAAATAGACACCAAAGCACGTACTGGATGCTAGTGGGGAAAAAACATGGGTAGCTTGACAATTAAGAACACATATTCATACTGAAATCATACCAATTTTTTTCCAATTCTTTCCCTTAAAACGCTGGACAGCCATCCGCAAAATCTCATCCTACAGAAACAGAATCATTTCGTCATAATTTTTGTTGGTATATTCTAAAAAACCCACTGTCTTGCTTAAAAAAGTGAAAACAGGATTAAAAAAATCTACATAGTAAAATTCTAAATGCCTATGTTAATAAATTAATATCAAGAGAATAAGTTGGGGTAACTGAAAATTAAAAACAAATACATATGCGCGCGCCCGCAGAAGAGAACATGAAATATGAAATATGCATGCGCATTCATGAATTTCACCTCTTCAGGCGTCCACTGTCCTTTGGTAGAACGCCTTGTAGGGCCAGTAGTCCGTCTACAGAAAGAAATCTTTTAGTCAGGCAGTTATCCGGCTTTTGTGCGTGTGTGTGTGGGGGGGGGGGGGGACGTGACTGTTACTGATTCAACGTATAGATAGGTCAAGCAAGAAATAGATAGGCTAAAATCTAAAAGACAACCCATTTTTCATGAATCAAAGGTTTTCTATCCTCACTACAGCACTAAGTTTCTAAATTTCGGTTCTATTAAAGAACATTACATTGACATCTCATGCATAATCGTTCTAAAGAAAGAAAATAACAGATCCAAAGATAAGTATATTAAATGCCAATGGCTGAAGGTGCTATTAGCAACTAAAAATGCCTTCTAGCTAGAGAAAACGTAGGCCGTACAAACAATAACCTACCTGCTAATCTAACCATTGTTGGGAACAGGTTAAAAGATTCTCGAAAGATAAAAGCGCAAACGAACTTTAACACCAATGGTTCTAGGGATTACCCATGCAGTGCTCTAATTTTCTGGGCACCATCACTGAGCCCGTCGGATGAAACAGGCGTTGTCCTGTCACCTTCCATAATTTGTTGTTAGAGAAGTAAAATAGTATACCCCAATTCCGAGTTCAATGCAATTCTGTCCACAATTGACTCTCCAAATCATTATAACTATTCAAAGAAGTCTCTGGGCACAAAGTTCTGAAACAAGGCATTGGTAAAAAGAGGGTAGAGTGAGAACAATTTCTTCAACGAAAGAACGTTGAAATGGGCAAACATTGATCCCAACAATCAGACCATACCACATAGGCATAAACCAACAGCCACTATCACATTCCTTGTTCGCACGATCATCTAGGGATGTACTAGAATCGCACTCGTTGTCATCGAACTCTAAGTGTTTCATTCATTTGGCAGAGAATAGGGAACAAGCCCATCCCGAATCCTACCAAAATGTGTGTGTTGTATGATCATTCAAATCGAGGCGTGCAAAACTCGCCATTAATCAAAACTAATACAGTCAGTACGATAATCCTACAAGTTAATATTAAGTTTAGCGGTTTCAAACAAACGCAAGCCCTGAAAATGGTGTGCGCCAGCCGCCAAGTTGTGCGCTCCTCCTCTTACCCCAACCACCGAAGGAATAAAAGAAAAAACAAAGTAATGAAATATAAGTATTCGGCATCAAAAAACAAAAAGCTGGGGTTCTCCGTTTCTAAGAAATTGGAGATGGAACCAACGCTTTCCAGCACTGACTCACCTAATGAGACTATTTTTTTCCCGAAATTACAAAACTAAGACTCTAGTTGGCATTCCAATTATTTCTTGATAAATTATTCCGATCCGATTATTTACGAAGCAAAAATCAAATTAGATTGGCGAAGATTGAAGCACACCACCGAACTGAGCTTCAGAAAGCGAACGGCCGAGAAGCCTGAGGAAACGACGAAGTTATACATACGCATTCGAAGATCCAAACATTGTAAGGACTAAGGAGGATCTGCAAATAAACAGTGACAAGCAGCGTTGGGAGAGAGAAAAAGCGAAGATGAGAGTGGGTGAATTTGATGATCCGAAACTCTCTATTCAAACATAAAGAGGGCGGACTATAATTTCAAAACCTCGTTTTTTTTTTTTTTTTTGGGACCAACATTTCAAAACCTCTGGTTAAAGGTGCAACGTCTTGGAAAATGGACGGTGAAGATGTTGACACGTCGGCTTGAAGCCATAACTGTGCTAAAACGTTTTGCCGTATTTTTCAAATGTTCAAAGGCCACGTTTCTATGATTTTTTTAGGCCAAGAAGAAAAAAAAAAACCAAAATAAAAAAAGGAAGAACATAAAAAAAAAAGGCCCACGAAAGGATTTTAACAAGAGGAATGACAGTTAAATCTAAAATATTAAATTAATGACAATTAAGTTCTTAATAATTTTTTTAAAAAATAAGTAAAAAATATCAATTCAAATTATTATTATAAATTCAGAAGTTTTAATTACAAATAAGTATTTAAATATTAAATATAACTTTTAGATTGTAATAAAAAATTTTATTTGTAACTATTAAATTGATATTTATATTTTATTTATTAAAAATCATCCATATGATGTTTAAAACAATTTTATTTTAGCTTGCACTAGTATTTTGACCTTATCAACATTTATATTTATCATAAATCACATCTATAGCTCAAAATACATTCTAGACATTATAAACAATTAATATAGTACAAGTGTCAAATAAAAGTGTATCCTAATTGATAGTGTTTAATCTATTACACAAAATAAATGAGAATAAGAGGCTTTACAGTATAATTCAAAATTTCTAAGCCTTTGGAAGCTTTTTCCTTTCCATATTGAAGCTAAAGCTTGTAAAAATGTTGAAAAAGAGGAGTGAGTCTAGCCACTCAGTAATCAAAATACACCTACCCTATGCAATTATATATTAATAAAAAAATACACTTAAATGAGTTAATTTCTCAAAAGCCTATGAGTTACAAGATGTAAATTTAACAATTTATTTCACTTTCACACATATCATCTCAGTCAAAGAGCATATTGCCACAAGACACATAGATACGTGACAACAACTCACATTATTGTCATGGCTTGTCACAACTTAAACAACCATGTGACACGTCAAATATTTACATATGCATGATCAAACCATCCTTATATCCTTTGATTGAAAACGTGGGTTAAACATCAATAGAACTTCATCCATGTAACTGGACTACTTAAACTCACCAATTGTGAGGTGTGACTCGGCCAAAGATTACAAAACTCACTCTCGAACTGTGGCTTTCCACACTCTCAAATCTTTAGAGTGTCGTATATCCTAAGTTAATCTCCTTAGCAAATGGTAGAGATAGCTAGGTTTTATTCATCGACAAACTATAGGACAGTCTCTTGACAAACTATGGACAAGACTATACCCTCATGTATCAAAAGGTAACCAAAATATCATATGAATTTTTAACTACTCCTCTCTCTAGGCGAACTCCTACCAACTGATCATGCTATATATGATGCTCATTCAGTTTTACAATTTTATTTATTCATTCATTGTTAGCACATTGGACTTACGATAAATATGCTACTAAATTGAACATCAGTCTTAACATAATTATCTTTATCCCAATACACTTAATCACAATTCACATCTATCAAACAAAGCACCAATTTCTCATTCCAATACAACAATGTAAATTGAAATTTATTTCAAATTCACTTTCACATGTTTAGTTTAAATCAAAGTGAATGCACTATCACATGTTTCATAGCATGTGATCACATCAACACATTCAATCATTCACGTAAACAAACCCACTTTCACATTAATGCACAATTAATAAATAACTATCCAAAGTAAAATTCTCCTGATTACCTCAAATCTTTAAGAGGTCAAAAGTTTACCCCCTCAATACTAACTTTCAGGCTTGATTCCCAATCCAAAATATGGTGCCCAAATACTTAATCTGTAATTAATCAATTCCAAATTTATTAACATGTTAAACACACATTATTAGCTCTCATTTTTCACTTTTAGAATATTCAATGTCTATACTACTTCTCACACTTAGGCCTACTCATTGGGTACATTAACTTTCTTTAACATTAATTAGCTTCATTAAGCCTTTATATTGCCATTAATGCCTCAACCATTCCTCATAGCTCACATTAATAATGCCCTATTTTGGACATTAATAAGCTTACCAACCAAAAGATTATAAAATTAGATTTGGTCCCCAAAGAAATGTTATTTTTGGCTGAAAATACTCTGTAGAGCTATTAGCCCACCTACTCAATCATGTGATTCTATGGGCCACAATATTCTTAAGGCAACATAAACATAAGGCCTTGATTACTACAATCATAACTTTCCACATCCATATTCAAGTAACAAAGAAATGAAGATGGGCCAAAATCCAAAATAAACAATCAAATAACCTTTAAATTTATAGGCCAACTTACATAGAAGTGTTTGTTTTATGGGCCACAAGATTCTTAAGCCCACATGACTAAATGTCATAAAATTTAAGTTCTTACTTTTACGGCAAGAATTACACCCGCGTGTGTTTTAATATAATTAGACCCATTCACTCCCTATGCCATGTCTTTTTTTTTTAAATTATTTTTATAGGCTTTAGTTTCAATATTCCATAAACGATGCAAAAAATTAAGTCTGGATAAGTTTTCATGTGAGATTAACTAAATATGAAAAATTTACTAAAAAGTAGTTTTCTCAAAATGCCTAATAGTTTGTGCCTTATGGACTATAATAATTTGATAATATTTTTTGGGTGACTCATAGGTCCTAAACATTATTATGAAGGAATAAAATTCTTGTACAATAATAACCTAGGTGAAGATAGTGATGCAAGTGATGCAAATGATGAAGTCGTTAGAGGTAATCTTATTATAAATTCATAACTTTTTTCATAATATTGATTTTTTAAGATTTTTCTAATTAATAAATTTTTTCATTATATTCCACTTGCCATAAAATTCTTAAGAAGTTGCTCATATCTTATCCATGGATGTTCAAGAACCAATCAAAGAAACTGGTACAATATATTATATTTACTACTACATTTAAATATATTATCTAATTATTTCCATCATTATCAATATTACTTCCTAAATATTTAATTGAATATCATATTTAATATTGTTGTGTTACTTTTTTTCTTTAATCAATTACAAACTACACTTAATTAAATTAATTATTCTTCTTTCATTGCTAATAAAAAATATAAAAAAAGTAATGACACTAGTTTATGTTGAGAATCACTTAATTCCTAACTATCATCATATGCAGTTTATATCGATGAAGGAGATCCTATAAAGACATGCAAATATTGCCAAGCTTAGCTATGGTTTAATGAAAGAGTTAAGAAAGACAAATTCTATACAATTTTTTGTTCTCACTCTGTTGCTGTAAAGGAAAAGTTGTATTACCAACCATGCAGACACTACTGGAATTTTTACGTTGTCTATTCTTTGATAAGAAGTCAAATGAGTCTAAGAATTTCCATGCTAATATAAGACAATATAACAACATGTTTTCCTTCACATTTATAGTGGAAGGGTCAATCATTCAATAACAGTAGTGGTAGGCCTTATTTCTTTGGAATATCAGGCATGAATTACCATATAATTGGAAGTCTATTACTATTAGAAGGTACTAAACCAGTTTACTCACAGTTATACATCTATGATACTGATAATGAAGTTGCAAATAGAATCTTTATTGTAAGGTACATACTTTCTCAACTTTAGTTATTTGAATAATTTTCTAAATTTTAATTTAATAGCAAAAATAATATTAATTGATTAATAATTTAATGCAGCAATCATCAAAAGTCATTGAGCATTGACACATCAATTGTTCAAAAAATAAAGGATGTTTGGATGAAGTGAATCTTTCGTGCTATAATATAGGACAACATCATCATTTTAAGAAGAAGGGAGCATGAACAATTTGAATTGTGCTTGATTAGCACTCAAAAACACGATGGTCGTATATATAATCTTCTTATAGCATCAGAGGTTGCAGTATTGGTTGTCGGTGACATTGATATAGATTTTCGTAGAAGAGATGTTATTGTTTAAGAGTTATCAGGATCACCCCAGTATATAAATGAGTTACATCCATCTTACATCCTTCTTCAATATCCTATACTATTTTCATTTGGTGAGGACGGATATAGGGATGATGTTGATCACCATGAAGACACTCTTAGCTCAACTAAGAAGAAAAAAAAGGGTTACCATGAGGGAATATTTCTCATTTCAACTTATGACACGGGCTAATGAAATCTCATCATTGCTACATGCACATAGATTATTCCAGCAATTTATAGTTGATGGTTATACAATGATTGAATCACAAAAATTACTTTGGGTGAAGACTCATTAAAAGGAGTTACGGGTTGATTTATATTAAGATTTGTCTGATGCTTTAATCAACGGTGAAAGGAATGTCAATTATGCAGGAAGACGAATAATTTTGCCTTCGTCTTTTACTGGTGGAGCTAGATACACAACTCAAAATTACCAAAACATAATGGCTATTTGTCATTGGGCTAGTTACCTAGATATCTTTTTAGCATTCACATATAATCCTGCTTGGTCAAAAATTACTAGATTTTATGAGAGACATTCTTTATCTCCTTCAGATCGTCCAGACATATTGTGTAAAACCCTTAAATTGAAATTGCAATCATTGATGAAGTCCATTAAAGAGAAAAATTTTGTGGAACGGTTAAAGCAGGTTATAATTCAAAACTTAAGTATTGTCTACTACATTTATATTCTTACATTTGAATACAATAATATATTAAATTTGATTATCTTAAACTCTCACATATGCTATTTGAATCACAAATTTTCTTTCACTTCATTACATTTTTACATTTCTTTTACTTATTTAAGTATATAAGCAAAGGAAATGATAGGGTGCTTGCTATAATATATGACATCATGATGAGATTTAACAATATTATAATTGTCAATACATATTTGCATGTGAGGGATCTTGGCATATATTTGGTTTTGACATACATCACATATTTCCTTCTGTAAGAGATTATGATTTTATCTCACCAATCAACAGTCTGTCATTTATTCTATGATGATGATAAGCTAAATTGTTGGATAAACAAAGAGTATGTGAGTCGTAGTTTCTAGCTGGATGTGAAAAGGAATGAGTGGGATGAAGTTGCCCAAACACTCATGTATATTGAGTTCCCTCATTCTTATGTTTATTAAAGATCAAAATGATCTGGAAAAGAAGGAACGTGGTTTTGTTATTGGTAGGATTACTCATGTAATTCCATCATCTAGAGAGCTATACTATCTTAGAATTTCTTTTGACAATATTATTAGTCTTTCTCATATGATGCCATTAAAATTGTTTAATGAAGTAGTCTATAAAACATTCAAGATGCCTGCTTTGTATTAGGATTACTAGATGATGATAAAGAATATATAAATGCAATACATGAAGCTATGACTTAGGCTTCAGGAACATTATTGAGAAGAATATTTATGACTATGTCACTATGTTATTGCTTGAGTCATCCTGACTTTGTATGAAATAATACTTAAAAATTTTATCTAAAGATTGTTATATATCTTTAGAAACGATCAAAGCCTATTAGGTAATTTGAAATTTTTTCAATCTAGTTATTATCAATTAAAATGTTTTGTAAAATATTTATAAATAATTATTTAATTTTTTTTATACATTACAACGGTTGACGTGCCAATCTTTGAGAAGGAACAGGTTGCACTACGTGAGACCGATTGCTTTTTAAAGAGTAACGGGCGGAGATCACTTCAAGATTACATATCCCTACCATTACCTCAACAAGCTTCAATATTTGAAATCACTAACCATATAATATTACAAGAATTGAACTATAATCGAGACACCTTGTATATAAAAGCTTCAAGGCTAATTAGTTTATTCAATAATAAGTAAAGATGTATTTATAATACGATTATGTCCTCCACAATCTTCACAAACAGGAGGATTTTTCTTTGTTTATGGCTATGAAGACACTAGCAAAACATTCCTGTGGAATACATTATCTTCATCACTTCATGCAAAAGGAGATATAGTTTGACTGTGGCATCAAGCAGAATTGTAGCAACTTTATTCCATTCGAAAGGACAGCACATTTAAGGTTTGCAACCCCTATATAAATAACTGAAGACTTTTTTTGTTGCATAAAACAAAACTCTACATTAGCACATTTAATTGAAGTAACAAAGTTGATCATATGGGATGAAGCACTAATGGTATAATGCTATTGCATTGAAGCCTTTGACCACACACTTAGGGATATAATGCATTCTAATTATCCATTGGGTGGGAAATTTATTGTCATGGGTAGTGATTTTCACTAAATCCTTCCTATCATTCTAAAAGGAGCAAAAGCATCAATTGTAAATGCATGCATTAGTTCTTCACCCTTGTGGAACCACAATAAAGTTTTTCAACTTAAGAAGAATATGCATTTATCACTATCTCCATTTCAAATAATGATAATGAATATTTAAAGAAATTTTCACAATGGTTATTAGATGTAGGTGATGGGAAGTTAGGCTAACCACATGATGATGTAGCTAAGATAAAGGTTCCTCATGATTTATTGCTTTTTGACTATGACGATACAGTGGAAGCAATTGTGTCATCTACTTATCTAATGTTTTGATGATAGAGTAATTCTTGCTTCTACCATTGAAGTTGTTAATCAAGTTAATAATTCCTACCATTGAAGTTGTTAATCAAGTTAATGATTACATGTGCTCTTTACTTCCTGGTGAATTTGTCGAGTTTTTAAGTTGTGATTTCATTTGCAAGTGAACAGAAGATAATGATTCATTGATGATTTGTTAGTATAGTACTGAGTTCTTAACACAATCACTTGTTCTGGATTATATCCTCATAAGCCCCACTTGAAGGTTGGGACCCCTATAATATTACTCCGTAATATAGACCAAGCTTCTGGTCTATACAATGGCACAAGGTTACGTACCACTCATGTTGGAAGAAATGTCATAGAAGCCATAACTTTGAATGGTACAAAGCAAAATGAGAAAATCTTGATTCATCGAGTAGACCTGAATCTCTCAAAAGAGTAGATGATCTTTTTGCATACAAAGGAGACAATTCCCTATTATTGTTTCATTTGCAATGACAATCAATAAAAGTTAAGGGCAATCATTGCCAAATGTTGGATTATATCTATCAAAGCCAGTATTCACACATGGTCAATTATATGTAGCACCATCAAGAGTTAAGAGCAAAGATGGCTTGAAGATTTTCTTACCCTATAGGACATTTATTACAACAAATGTTATTTACAGAGAGATTTTTAGAAATTTGATGCAACATGTGTTTGTTTTTAAAACCAATGAAGACATTTTTTCATTTCATATGTAATTCGATAAAAATGCAATGTTTTAAGACATGACTATTAGCGTAACAATTTTAATGTATGTTGAAGTGATATTTTTAGAGTATTTTTAGTAATTGTTTAAGAATAGCTTAGATTAATATTTTATAGTTGAATATGATTAAATTCATATAATGTATTGCTCCATTGCACGGGGATAGTAAAGGCTAGTTTCACCAATATTAAATAAAGTTTTTAAAATTCATTAACTTGTCTTAAAATTTAATAAATTCTCAACTTTGCTTTTATTAAACATACTTAATTCAATAATATATTTTCTCTCTCTAATATTTAAGAGAACGTAAAAAAAAATTTATGATAAAAATTTAATGACATGATTTATAAATATGACTAAAAAAATTTTCTCTTTGGAGAGTACATAATATAAAATGAAATGAAGATGTCTTCTACAGTCATTTTAATTGCATGAAAGTAATATAAAATGAAAATTAATATCTCTAAAACTGTAATCTGATGAATGCACGCACACGCATGCAAGCGCCGAAGGGCCACTTTAATAATGGATTGGGGAGTTATACTACTTGCAAGCCATGAATGATATTTATTTTGGACCATGTACAGATATAAACTCCTGAAGTAAAAAATTGAAAGCTGATAAATGCACGCACACGTATGCAAACGCCGAAGGGCCATTTTTAACCATAAACCACTTTATTTATCTACTAAAATTTTGAAATTAAAAGAAGAGAGGAAAAATTACAAAATCTACATAAAGCTGAAGTAAAGGAGCATCGCACAAAATAAAAGGAGTGATGGTCATATGCTCTAACATGCTATAAGTTGTCTGGGGACCCACAAAAGGGAGAATAGGAGCTGATTAAGTAAAAACTCAGCGGCATGAGATATCACGATGGTGGTTGTAATATATATTTATTTCATAGATAATAGTATAATATGTAATATAAAAAATCATTGAAAAAACTGTATAGTGAATAATTAATCAATTATCTATCACGTGCCTCATTTTAGACTATATAATGGAAATTAAACATATATAATTGGAAAACATACAATCTAATTGACTTTTAAATGAAAATCTAAGAAGAGGTACGGTCCACCTGCAGTATAAATTGCATGGGAAAATTGCAAGGGGGCGATAATTTAACAGAGTAAGACTAACAGTTAAATACAGGGAATACATCAAGCAACCAGGCAAATTAAATTAAAGTGATCTCTTCAATAGAACGAAATTTAAGCTGCTCCAACTCTTTGAGCTTTATTTGGGCGACCCATTGCAGATTCTCTCTCTCTAGAGCGGGAATGCTTTGCCCCCCTACCGTGCCTTCCTCCCCTGAGAAGAAATGATACACTTGAAGCTTTTTCCAAGTTAAAAAAATCGAAGAACAAAGAAAGGGAAAACAACTTATTCATGTGAAATCCAAGACACTGATTAGGTTGCCCACTTACCTTCCTCGGGTGTTCTTGCTGTCTCGGTGCTTTTCTTGATTACCACGGAGAAGGCTCCAGTATTCCCTTTCAGCGTCGCCTGTGGGAGCATCACACAGCTAGACCTCAGCTTAGGTGTTAAGTTTGTAAACGGAACAAGTTGAATCACGTTTCAAATAGAATTAGATGTGAGTACCAGACACAGGATCCAGAGTAGCAAAAAGTTCTTCACAGCCAGCCCCCCCTTTTCAGCAAGAACTGCAGCAGCACGAGCTTTCTGAGCAGCCTCAGGTTCTTCAAACCGGATGTATCCTGAATCTGCTCCAATCTTGAAATCAATGTACTGAGTAGGCAAACAAGAGTATGAGATTAATAGACTAGTCTCCATCATCAATTCAAATCTTGAAGATGGACCACTTGTTCCCACCCCCCCAAAAAAAAAAAAAACCACCAACTAATGGATTGGGAGTTATACTACTTGCAAGCCATGAATGATATTTATTTTGGACCATGTACGATATAACTCCTGAAGTAAAAATGTGGCTGATAAATGCCGCACACGTATGCAAACGCCGAAGGGCCATTTTAACCAATAAACCACTTTATTATATCTACTAAAATTTTGAAATTAAAAGGAGAGAGGAAAAATTACAAAATCTACATAAAGCTAAGTAAAGGAGCATCGCACAAAATAAAAGAGTGATGGTCATAGCTCTAACATGCTAAAGTTGTCTGGGGACCCACAAAAGGGAGAATAGGAGCTGATTAAGTAAAAACTCAGCGGCATGAGATATCACGATGGTGGTTGTAATATATTTTATTTCATAGATAATAGTATATAATATGTAATATAAAAAATCATTGAAAAAACTGTATAGTGAATAATGAATCAATTATCTATCACGTGCCTCATTTTAGACTATATAATGAAATTAAACATATAAATTGGAAAACATACAATCTAATTGACTTTTAAATGAAAATCTAAGAAGAGGTACGGTCCACCTGCAGTAAAATTGCATGGGAAAATTGCAAGGGGGCGATAATTTAACAGAGTAAGACTAACAGTTTAAATACAGGGAATACATCAAGCACCAGGCAAATTAAAATTAAAGTGATCTCTTCAATAGAACGAATTTAAGCTGCTCCAACTCTTTGAGCTTTATTTGGGCGACCCATTGCAGATTCCTCTCTCTCTAGAGCGGGGAATGCTTTGCCCCCCTACCGTGCCTTCCTCCCCTGAGAAAGAATGATACACTTGAAGCTTTTTCCAAGTTAAAAATCGAAGAACAAGAAAGGGAAAACAACTTATTCATGTGAAATCCAAGACACTGATTAGGTTGCCCACTTACCTTCCTCGGGTGTTCTTGCTGTCTCGGTGCTTTCGATGATTACCAACGGAGAGGGCTCAGTATTCCTTTCGGCGTCGCCTGTGGGAGCATCACACAGCTAGACCTCAGCTTAGGTGTTGAGTTTGTAAACGAACAAGTTGAATCACGTTTCAAATAGAATTAGATGTGAGTACCAGACACAGGATCCAGAGTAGCAATAAAGTTCTTCACAGCAGCCCCCCTTTTCAGCAAGAACTGCAGCAGCACGAGCTTTCTGAGCAGCCTCAGGTTCTTCAAACCGGATGTATCCTGAATCTGCTCCAATCTTGAAATCAATGTACTGAGTAGGCAAACAAGAGTATGAGATTAATAGACTAGTCTCCATCATCAATTCAAAATCTTGAAGATGGACCACTTGTTCCCACCCCCCCCAAAAAAAAAAAAAAAAACCACCAACAACACTTAGGGAGAAAAAAAAACGAAAGAAAGAATAAGGCAACTTGCGTAGCTGTTATTCAAACTAACGATGCTATAAATCTTCCAGAATAGTAGGAAAAGAAAATGGTTAGTACCTTCACAGAACCAAACTTCTCAAAGACACCCTTCAAATCCTCACGTATCACAACATTCATGTTGTCCTTGTAAGCATTGGCTGAAAGTTTTACTTCACTTTCTTGAATCTTTTCTTCACCTTTAGCTTCATTTCCTTCACTGGCCTCTTTGTGTTCTTTATCATTGTCAATATTATCTGACGCCTTTTGTTCATTAACCTCAATAACATCTTCTGATGGATTTTGTTCATCTTTGTTTGAGGCACTATTGCTGCCATTGGCTTCTTGATGAACACCATTTTGTCCCAGAGGAACATCATCTGAATCCGTTTTTAGCTTGAAGGAAATAATCAAGCCTTTGGGGTAACTGTAGTCAACATGAATGACAACAATCAGCTTTGGAATCATTCCATTTAGTAGGGGCCAGGTGGGGTTAATGAAATTGGCAACTTCTTACTGTGCTTCAGCATTTGTGTTGTTCTGGTGACTTGAAACCATATGGGCACCAGATTTTCCATACTCTTCCAACTCCTTTGTTCTCTCTGCATCGAAGTCTTTCCTGAATTGGATATGATCAACATCAGATGACTAAGATATGCATCAACAGATGCTTAACAGTAGTGCATCCTGTCTCATACTGTAAGCTACATTACAGATGATAGAAATTCTTCAAAATGCCACACCAATCATCATTGACTCAAAATCAACTTTTCAAACACTTTTGTTTACTTTCATAGACACAGAATTCATACCTATCTCGGAACCTTCTTTCATTTCAGACTGTTTACGAGAGCAGTTGACAGAAAATTTGGTCCAATACCATTCTTTTATTTCAAAAATTGTTCTGACATAAGGGAAATTACAAAAATGCAAAAAGGGAAAGAAAGGAAGTTTAGTGTTTCATTCATTCAAAGTAATGGTATATAACAGCTATTGATTTTCTTACTTAAACTTCAATTCTAACTCAGCTCCTGCATAGGCCAATTTTTTCTCCAAAACTTGTCCGACATCTTGTTCTGCTGCAAACTCAATGAGAGCAGTGCCACAGAAGAACTTTTGTCTCCAACATGACGAGGAAGCCTGACACTATTAACCTGAAATAACAAAAGCGGCAGATTTTCACTGTTGTTGTGAAAGAGTCTCTCGTAAAATAATCACAGCAACAGAGCAGCTAAACAACAACAATAGCAGTAATCTGACATATTTAAAGATTAACATTAAAGCGAATATAAACTAGATTTTATAGCCAGCATCGGAAGTATCTCTTCAATCCTTGACAAGGGATTTAGTAAACTTCATATGCTCATTTTGCACACCAGCTAGCTCACATGATGCATCAGAACTCGTAATAAGCATAAGGAATATGTTTCATAACACAAGTGTAAGAATCCAAGTAATCAAGATACTGTAATAACCTTGGCAAATTGACCAAAGAATGCCTCTATATCTTCTCGCTTCACATCATGCTCAAATGGTGATGCCGCTATTGTTCTGGTGTCCACCTGCTCAATCCTCTTCAGGTTTCAGAAGTTCAGTTGTCCTGCCAACTTTTTTCCCTGAAAAATGAAGTAGAATCAATAAATGAACAGGTGAGAATTCATTCAAAATAGATTTAGCAACAGTAGTGCACTTGCATACAGTACCATAATCTTCCCCAAAAAATAAAGATAAAATAAAAAGAGAGACATCATCTAGATTATGCAGAAGAAACAGACAGAAATTTGGGTGTGAACTTGTGATTCCTCCTTCGCTCATCTCATGACTGCAAGAAATAAAGGGGAAGAAAAAACAAATGTTTTGCAGCTCTTAGTAACAAGTAAGGGGAACTCCAACCCGATCCCTTAAACTAGAAAGAATAGTGACATCAAACAAACAAGCCAGGCACCTCCATCAATTCGAGCACGCGTCAACAGAGATCATATAACCTAGATTCCTCACACGCAAGAGAGAAAAGCAAAAACTATACAAACAGAGATAAACATGGAAGTTAACCAGAAACTCACCATCCTCGGATATCTTAAGTGATTCTGATTTCCTCAAAGTTTCAGCAACAGCTTTCACAGTATCTTCAGGGACTTCATCCGGCTTTTACAATCGTCCCAGATTAAGATGTTTTCTCATCCGGGTAAAAAGAACAAATCAAAGCCAAACTAAACACTTTGTAATCAGAGTCAAGACCAACAATGCAAAACGGAAATGCATACGGAAAACCACAGGTAAATTCCCAGCATCACATGTCAATCTTCAATTACGTTTGGCCAAAACCAAAACCCTTCAATTAAGTCGCGGGAAAAATAAACAATAGGAAACTAACAGGGGCTCATGAGTCATGTGCCAGAACTAATATACACAGGAAAAAAACAACAGTCGAATGCAAAAAACACGATAATCGACAAGAAACAAGGATACTGCCATCTTCGCTTTCAGCGATAGATTTCTTGAAAAATTGTCCCTAGGAAGGTTGCTGTCACTGAAGTAAAACTCAACTAAAGAAACGGTGCAGGCGCAAATTAGGAAGACAAAGAGAACATTCAAGATAGTTCTCCCAAAAACGGATTGAAAAAGTAGAGTGTAAAGGTGAGGTGTATCGCATACTTGTCGCGTCACTTTCTAGCTGTTTCTTCGTCCAACGACGGCGTTGCCATTGCTGTACGGACGAAGGAAGAAAGAGAGATCAAGACGCGATGGGGAGGCGATTGCTTCTGTATGATTAGGGTTTTGGGGCTAGGAGTCCTTCCGCTTTGTTTCTGACTATTCTAGTGGTGTGTGTGAATTAAAAAAAATAGTACCGGAGTTTAGAATTTAACTAAAGTTAATAAATTAAATTAAATATCTGTAAATATAACGTGAATTATTTAAATATTTTTTAAAAGTAGTTGAATAAATTAAAATTTATTTAAATAATTTAATTTAAAAATTAGTTAAAATATATAATGATAAAAATAGATAATAATTTTATTGTATACTGTTTTGATTTTTTTTTTATAAATTACTTTTACAAACCTTATTAATATCAATAAAGAACCATACACTCACGTAGACATGAGCCATACGCGTCAGGCCCAAAAAGAAAAAAGAAATGAACCATACCCACAGGTGAAAGGCAAATATAAAGAGAGAGATTAAATTAAAAGGAGAAAGAAGAGGGAAATATATATATATATATATAGATATAGGATGGCAAAAACCCCTCCGCCTTATATTTGAGTTGAAGCTTAGGAGTTCCAACGATCCTTTTTTTTTTTTTTTTAACCAGTGAAGTTCTTCAACTCAAATATAATCCTCACCCCTCACCTCTCGTCCCGCCTGAATTGATCATCGTGGATTCATGGAATCGTGCCACAGAGCACGGAGGGGATTGTTAAAAGCAACCAGAAATTACCAATTACTGACCTGAATATTACTTTGGGGTGTTTGCCTTTCATCTTTCAGCCAGTTTTGGAATGAGACTAGAATTGGTAGTGTAAAAAAAAAAAAAAAAGACGGACTTGATGCAAATACTGAAAGGAATTGATCGTTCTCGAACTGGTAACCCTCATATGGATTGGCTAGGTTAGAAAAAAACATTATGGAAAGATTATTATGGATTAACAACTCAGGAAGAATTACTTTGATACCAAAAATCTCACTATCAATGGCTCCAGTAGGGTGATAGAAATATCAAATTCTCCCATGCTACCACTGTCATCAAGAGAAAGAGGAAAAAGATTAAGGCTTTGAAATCTGATTCAAGTGATTAGGTGATCAATAATGACCCCCTAAAATCTATGGCCTCCTCCTTCTTTCAGGATTTGTATTCTAAAGATCCTCTCGTCTCTCAAGCTATTTCCTAGCCTACTAAATTTCCTAAGCTCAACCTTGAGATTCTTTCTCAACTTAACCTTGATATCATTGACGTGGAAATCAAGAACGCCACTTTGACTATGGATGCTTTTAAAGCACCAGGACCTGATAGTCTTCAAGCTATTTTTTTCAAACTCAATGGGACCGTGTGGGTGTGAAAATATGTGAAGCAGTGAAGAATTGTGTCCTTAACCCCGATTCTTTGAAATAGATTGATCAGGCAAATATTGTTCTGATTCTTAAAGTGGACCACCCTTTTTTACTCAAGGACTTTAAGCCAATATCACTTTGTAATGTCAGTTTTAAATCATCACAAAACTCTTAGCTAGACATCTTCAACCAATTATAGAACTACTCATTAGACCTCAACAATGCAGCTTCATCAAGGGATGGCAGAGTGCTAACAATATCATTATTACTCAAGAAATTATTCATTCAATGAGACACGAGAGATCTGGCCGAGGTTACATGGCAATTAAAGTTGATATAGAAAAAGCTTTTGACCGACTTGACTAGGACTTTATTGAGTAGACTCTTCATAGTATTGGACTTCATAACAACCTTGTCCGAATCATTATGAACTGCATCACTACTCCTCTTTAAAGGTCTTGTGGAATGGTGAGGAGATGGAATCCTTTAGACCATCGAGAGGAGTTCGTTAAGGGGATTCTCTTAGTCCTTACATCTTTGTTTGTTCTTTGTATGGAAAGATTAGATCATCTTATCTCTAAAGCCTGCACGGTCAAGAAATGGAAACCTTTTAGATTTTCAGTAAAGGGCCATTCATTTCACATTTGTTTCTTTGCAAATGATCTCTTCTTGTTTGTGAAACCTCCTCTAACCAAATGATTTTGATTTGAGAAATCATGGAGAAATTTTATCTTGCTTCTAGCCACAGAATAATCTTGATAAGTTTAAAGCCTTTCACTTAAAAAAAGGTTCACTTAATCAAGCTCAGAAACTTTTTCAAATCCTTGGTATTGGTCTTACATAATATTTGGGGAAATATTTAAGAGTACCTCTTTTGCATTCCCTAGTTACTAAGATGGACTTTTGCACCTATCCTTTAAAAAGTCCAGCAAAGATTATCACCTTGGCAAGGACAATACCTTAACATGACAAGTTGGTTGGTTCTCTCATCAGTCTATTCTGTCTGCTCTTGCTATTTCATGCAAGCAATGCTTTTTCCCAAGGAGTATTAAAAGAGATTGAAGGGTTTAGCAAAAGATTTCTTTGGTCTCATAACCCCTCTAAAAGGAAGATACATCTTATCTCTTGGGAAATGGCTAAAAAATATCAAACAACAAGGAGGGCTAAGCTTTAAAGATCTTTATAGCTAGACAAGGTCTTCATCATGAAACTTTGTTGGAAGCTTCTTACACACAATCCACTCTTTGGGTCAAATGTTTAAAGATGAAATAATGCTGGTGGTAATCAACTTTTACATTTGGTTTGTAAGAAACAATGTTTGTCTCAAGTTTAGCAAGCAATCACTGATGTTTGGGATTGTTTTTACTCTGGTGTTGGGAGGAAATTGGGTAATGGTTGAGACACCAAATGTTGGTGGGATCTTTGGACTCTTGTGGATCAACCCCTATTCACCCTTATGGATAAAAATCATGACCTTCTCAATCCCCATGCTAACGTATTTGATTTTGTTCAACCAAATAGCTCTTTGGATATTATGGCATGGAAAAACTTCCTGCCTAATTGTGCGATGAATAGTATGCAATCTCCCTCCTTCTCAACCTTCCAACTATGACTCCTATTCTTAGAGAGCTTGATGCCAAGGATTCACACTTATTTAGATTCTTTAGATGCCATTAACATGATCTTACAAGATTATGTGGTTGACCACCCTTGGAGAGAAGAAATTAATACTGCCGAGACCTCATTTATAATGTTCTAAAGGTGGAGGTACACCATACTTACAAGAAAGTTTTACAATGTACCGATTACCTTGCTAGATATAGTCATGGATTAGGTCTTGGGATAAAATTGTGTCTATGTAATTCTTGATGCCTTGCATACCATGTTGTGTAAGATAGGTCCCATGGTTACCCATGACGTGTAATCTTTTGTAACTTAGCTTCAAGCTTTAAGCTTGCCATTTCCATTCAAAAAAAAGAACGTCTTCTTAAATCTCAAATAAATTATCTAATAACAAATTATTATAAAATTAGAGTGTAATTGTAATCGTAGTTATTCAATTTTTAGATGGAATAATTAAATTTTATAGTAAATTAATTTTTTTTAAATAAGAACAAACTTTATTGTCAATTTATATAATGACGAAATAATATGGTCAAAAATTCAGTTTAGATTATGTAAAAATATAAATTACATTGAAATTCAACCTGAAAAATAACTAGATTTTATAACTTTACTGGGTAATCTTACCAAAAAAAATAATGTTACTTTTTTTTTGCATAAAAAATTAATCTTACTGAATAATAGATTTTGTGTATCCAAACTGAAATCAATTTGAAAAGTTTAAATTTTATAATAGTTTAAATTTTCATTGGTTAATCTTTTTTTACAATCTAATTATAAAACGACAGCGTGTTCAATTTTTGTTTTTATTTATATTGTATAATCTGAAGAAATAGGTTGAATTGAAATTCAACTTGAAAAGGTAATAAAATTTTAGTTAGAATCAAATGAATTCTGAACTTTAAAAAAAATAATTGGATCCTACAATAATTAGTTATCATTGGTTCGAACCAATCTCATGTCAATTATCAAACTTGACTTCCCAATCACAAAGAGAATCCAAAACATATAATTGCAAAATCATCACTCCAAACCCGGCGATACACACATACACAAAAAAATAGTCCATTAAATTAAGATGACAAATTGATTTGTTCTTTTTCAAGAAAATAAATTTCTTTAATTTTCTCTTGGTTATATCTAAAATAAAATCACACTATCATATTTAATAATTTAACTTTATTTTGGACCATAAAGAAAACTCTCTATGTAAAAGTAAGCTAGAGAGGCTGATGTTATACATTTACATATCCGCTAATTTGGACAACAGATGAAAAAAAAAGCTTTTCAAGCACTGCATCTACACCTCGGGCTAGCATTATCAAGCTCTTTTGTAAGTTCAGAATCTGAACGTATTAATCAACTCAAACGGCTGATTCTCTCCAAGAGTAAGAGAGAGTTGCCCCCTAATGAGAGGAGCAAGAGAGAGTTCAAGAAGGAATTACTATCAGAATTGATGTGGACGCTCTATGACTTGGGAAGGATAGCCAACTTGTGGTGGTCTCTTAAGAAACTCAAAGGGTGAATGGATTATGGCAATAGGATTCCAAAAAGCTTAGTAGTTAAAGCAAAACTGTGGGACTATCCAAACTGGGCTTGAGTTTATAGGCAACTAAACCTTTTGAAGATACAACTTTACTCAGATTCCATGGATGCATTGGACCTAATTTTTCAAGATAGCGGAGTATCACCCTCTCAACCCTCGAATTGGAAGAGACTAGAACGTGGAAATTTACTAATCACCACACCCACAGACAAAGCATTCGACGTGCCGTTTATGGATCAAGGATTATCACTCTTTCCCGGCATATTTCCAGGATGTTCTGGTTTCCACTTACATGAGTTAATCAGGTCTAATGGCCTGTCTAGTCTGTGGCCTGTGCTTTTTCACCCCATTTTTCAAGTCAGGTGCATTCTTTTTTTGGGAATAATCGAGAAATATCTTATGTGACTTAATTAAAGAATTCTAGCATAATTTACTCTAATATGGTTAAAGGAACATCTAATAATCTAGTTTATGTAGTTTGATTGAAATCAATCAACTTAGAGCATAGCATTACATAGACTATTACAATAAATTGTGGCAAGAAGTCTAGTTTCTAACTTCGACAGGTACAACTTAGAAACCCTTGCCATAAGCAAGGTTAACCAGGTGAAAATTCTTTCCATCACTTAGTACAAAAACTACTAATTACGTCCCTCATTTTTTTATTTCTTTTATTTCTTCATCCCACCACACTATAGTTGCAGACTATTTGATTTTTCTAAGACTAAATATTACGGATTTAACTTCTAGGAATCGAGTTATTTCAAGTATGCAGCAAATTAGCCCACGGATCACTAATCATCTAATTAGTGCCGAAGTATCAATATGCTTACATAAAATCATCTTCTATTTCCTGTAATGTTTTGCTTTCTGATGCACTATGCTTATT